AGGTAGTAATTTAACATTTAAAAGGTTAAACGAACGGCATTGTTAACTGAAGATGTAATTTTAATCAACGGGAAGCTGATAACAAATTCAATTTGTTTCTTAAGTGAGATGTTGACGTAACAAATAAAGTAGACACAGATCAGAAGTCACGATTCAAATTAAAGACAAAAAGTTACATAAGGTTTAATAAAGGGACGGTGTGGCCTAGCTGTAGAGCATTTAATAAAACTGAGGAAAGTATCATTATAACCGACCATACGGGCAGATGAAATAGACCTTATCCGATTGTCAGATCTTCGGCCATGAGGGGTTGTATTTTCAGAACTGTTTTAAAGTCAAGTATGGAACGGCGAGGCCTATCAATAGAGTGCTAGAATGATTAACTGGAATGCCTCGAGTTCGAATCCGGGTTCAAGTCAGTAGAACGTCCTGAGTCCACCCAGCGAAAACGGATACCTAACCAGTGTCTCTTCCAGACATTTTCTCCGGGGGAGGGGGGCACTATTAAAAGTATATATTTTCGTTCGGGGGAAAGGGGGAGGGGGGTGGTAGACTTTCTTCTGGAGAGGGCTCAACCCCCCCCCCCCGAAGAGATGCCTGGAAGAAACTCTGTACCTTACTTACTTTATGGAAAGTAAAGGCGGCTGTGCATAATGCTAACCACACTATCTCTTCATATGTCAATGTCACAGAATCAGGTGAACTCTACTTCACTCACCCCATGGACATTCAGGTTCGAAAACGGAACTTAACATTTTTTTTTGTGGTGGACTCCCGGGAAGGACCCGAGTCCTAGAACCGAACTCGAAACTTCGAGTTGTAAATTATTTTACGCTCCACTACCTTACAATGACGTAAAATTGAGTCATACAAGTACAACACGATATAATCAGGACCGGACTTTTACTTGGGTGCTGGACCCTAACTAAGTCGACGCCGCAGTTTGGATCGTTTAGCTACAAACTGTTCTTATTCAAGGGTTTTTTTCTTCTAGAAATTTCACTCCAATAGTAGGGGGGGGGGGGGGCATTTTAACTGGGTGTACATTGGGGAGGGGACGTGTGAAACTTTCTAGAAAGGGAAGATGGTGGACAACTATAAGAATGGTTACATATCAGGGGGTAGGGACCTTTGAGACTTCCGGGAAAAGGATAGTATAGTCGTTGACAATTCTAGGAATGATTACATTTAATATTTTTTTCTCTTTTGTCATAAGAAGGGAGGGGAAGGGGGGGGGGGTGCCCGAATGAAACACTGCTTTTGTCTTCCTGACTTTCTGCCTTTCTAAATTATAACCACCTTGTGAAAAAAAAATCAAGATATATTTTCAAAGTTCACCTGATATCTTTTCGCTTGATCTCTCGTCTACATCTTACTTTAAAATAGATTTGTTGTGCCGGTGAGTTGTTGAACCAACTCCCTCAAGTCTAATTGTTAGATGACGACTGATAGTCTATTTAACCTTTTCTGTTCCACCCATAACATATCCATCGCTGTCTAAGCAGTGTTTCGTCCAGACTTTTTTCTCCTTTTCTCCGGGGGCGGGGGGGGGGGGGGGGGGGGACTTGACATCTTTTGGGGGGGGGGGGGGGCGGACTAAAATCTCCGGGAGGGCGGACACTGTTAAAAGTATATATATTTTCTGAATAATATCATTTCGTTCGGGGGGGGGGGGGGGGGGGGGGGGGAAGGGGTAGCAATAGACTTTCTTGAGGGGGGGGGGGGGGGGAGGGGGCTACCCAAAGAGATGCCTGGAAGAAACTCTTTGTCTAAGTCGATTTAAAACATTGACCCCCATCCCTATTGTAACACAAAAAAACAAGACCCCAAATATAACGTCAAAGTTTCACCCTATCTTTAAAAACAAAACGAAATTATAACAAAATTTACGTTTTGTCTCGTTTTATCCATTACACATTATTTTACTTTTCATATGTCAATATAGGCTACCACTTAGTACACCGTCACAAAAGTGCTAAACCACTTTTCATAAGTGTTTGGCGTCATTTAAGGACAACCCCCCCCCCCCCCTCACCCCATTATTTACCTTTTAATGACGAAAACAAAAAACATTCTCACACTTTGTCTCTTTTGTCAATTCCGGCAATGCGGATACTCAATCAGTCATGAAATAAATAAATACCAAATATAGGCATATTTATATACACAACCGGAAATGGAAAATACCACGAACACAACGTCATATTTGCGGTAAATACCAGAAGTACACGGCAGGCGGCAATGTTCTCACATCGCTGCACCTGATGTAAACAAACACCAAATTCCAATAAAAAAAAAATCACTAATCCTGAACAAGTAGCATTCCCAGCCCACCCCCCTTCTGTTGAAGAGTATTTCTGTTTCTCTCTCGTAGCCTACGTGAGATTTTCCCACAGGGTAATTACCGCACTACGGTTATATTAAACTTTTTTTTTCGCTCTAATTGACTGGCGTGCTTACCCCCCCCCCCCCCCCCCCCCACATTTATATTTATCACACGGCAAATCACATTCACAGCTAGCGTTTACAAACTTCAAACAGTTTCTTAAAAAAGGTTGGGATGGGGTCGTTCACGAATCATGATTCCCCCCTCCCCCAAACTTCTACCTAATTTATAATAACAACTCACCACCTGAGCATGTGGTAAAAATGTGTGGTTAGCTTAGTAGACTTATTTAAAAAATGCTACGTCACCTTTTCCTCCCCCTCCCCTCCCCCCCCCCCCACTCCCACGCACAGGCGTATCACGTCGTCATAACATTTTTCCCCATTGTTCTATGACGTCATTTATGGGCGACCCTAAGTTATTTTAAAGTATAGAACAACCCTAATGCTACGTCATAAATTATGAAACGACACCCCGTTGCTTGCAAGTCGTGATAAAACCTACATGTTGTTTTTTTTTCATATCTCAAGTCAATGCTAGAAATAATTGACTGAACAATCCTCATTAAAAAAAAAATACCCACCCCCTGAATAAACTTGGGCATCACGTACCTTCATTCATCGGCCTACTTCATTCATCGCTGAATAGGTCCGCGCAAAAGTAGGGTGTTCTCCAATACACCCCAAGTGGCCAACCTCTGACTTCCATTGACCTAGTCGTGAAGGCGCGGCTACAGGGGAGGGAGGGGGGGTGTTACTCCGTCACAGGGGCGTAGCCAGGTTTACGTTGTAATACAGCAACGAAGCCCATAAAAGCGTCAACTTTTCACAACATATATATATATATATATATATATATATATATATATATATATATATATATATATATATATATATATATATATATATATATATATAAAAGTGCACACAATAAAATGACGTCATCGATTCTCCCCGATGAGATGGAGGGGCACGGAATTTTCGGGGGAGGGGGGGGGGCGGACTAAATTTTCCGGGGAGCGGATACTGATAAAAGTATATATATTCAATATAAATTCTATTTCGTTCGAGGGTACGGTAGAGGTTCTTCAAGGGGCTCAGCCCCCCCCCCCTTCGAAGATCATTTGTCTGAAAAACCTCAAATGCGACTATTTTTAAGTTTGAGATCCAATGTCCCCCCCCCCAATGTGAAATGGAATTTATATAGAAAACATATACTTTTATACTTGTAACAGTATCCGCCCCCCCCCCCCCCGGAAAAATGTTGTTTATGGAAAAAAGTTACAGATTGTTTTTGTTTTGTAAAGTGTAGTAGTAATTTTTATATTTTATATAAAATGTTATTTTCTTAAGGCATAACTGTATAGCTAAAGCTAAATCTTGGGAGCTTTCCCTTTTCATCATAAATAACAAAAATATGCAAGCAAACCTTTCGACTTTTAATTTTATTTTTTTTATCTTTTTACAACATCTAAATAAGAAAACGAAAAGTGAAATAAAAATATGGGCTCGAGTGTAGGACGCTTTTGAGTCCATCCAGCTCTAATGGGTGCCTGACTAACGTTAAGAAACAAAGGCGGCTGGGTATACAGTGTTACCAACTCCACCCCCTTACATATCTAAAAAGAGGAACTCTACTTCATCTGTCTTTGGGCACGAAAGTGAACAGATGATAAAGATTGTAATAGTTAAAGCGTTTATGGCTTAAGAAATAATTTTAATATATTTTTTGGCTAACGCTTTTTCTTTTACTATTAGCCATTATTAAGGGGTCGTTCATAAATGACTGGCGTCAATATCCGAGGAGGTGGGTAGGGAATTCAGGACTTTTGTGGCTAACTGTGATGAAAGGAAAGTGTTAAAAACTGTAACATCGCCGTTTTTAAAAAAAATGAAATTTTACAATTGAAATTACCAGCGGTGTATACTTTGGTAATTGTAATTAAATTGATCAATACGTTTAGTTAATAGTAACTAAGCGTAATTAACATTCCAGAAAAAGAAAATGAGAATTCGTGCAACAAAAACTGCTTTTGAATGCCGGAATTAGATTTAGGTGAACTTATTTTAGTTATTGTGATGTTGCGTGATCATTGTTTCTTTCAGACTTTTTCCGCCCGGGTGAGGGGGATTTTTTTGGGAGGCGGACACTGGTAAAGGTATATATTTTCATTATAAATTATTTTTTCGTTTGGGAGATATGCCCAAAGGAAACACTGTGCGTGATGGGTCATATTGGCCATAAAAAAATGCGTGACTTTTTTTTAATGGAAGACCCTCAGGGCATAACATAAAGATCTAACTATTATAACATCGTGTATGGTATTTTCTTTTTTTTATAGTCTGTTAGTCTTCTCTGGATTTTTTAAAATCACAAACATATTCGTATTGTTTATAACATTAGAAAAATCTATTAGCACTTATTTTACTTTAAAAAAACAGTAGTTTTTCAGAGGCTAAAATAAACTAATTCCGATAAATTCGAGCAATTTTAAGTTTCAGCATTGTCTATTTCGACAGAACGGGCTTAATCTATTATTCCCGTCGCCGAAGAAGTATAATGTAGTCCCTAGCAGTCATATCAAATCATCCCGGGTTGAAAAAGTAGCCCAGCCCATCTCAAACATGGCGGGTAACTTAAATTCTATTGATTTCAAAACCTTTCTAGTGGGTGCTGAGTCAAGTTCGAGGCGATTTAGATCAAACATTGATGCTATTTTTGAAAAAGTAAACTTAATGTGTATTTACTAACAATTTGCATGTTTCATTATTAAATATATCTAAATTTACGTGTACATAAACTTCCTAAAGCGTCTCTTGTCTTTGAAATGCTCCGATGTAAAATTAAAAATTTAGATTTTTCTAGACGAAAATTTGCATAGGGCAGGGTTTTGCGACTCGTTTTAGTAACCAACGTTGTTAAAGTTGTTAAATTAAATAGTGATATTTAACAATTTGTTCATAGATCTAGAGTCTAGATCTACCTAACTTTACTATTAAACTGAAAAGTAAAGTTGGTGGATTTTGTGGGGCTAGTTCTTCAGTTCTAGAGAATCTATCTGTACTGAGAGATAGATCTAGATTCTAGATGCTGGCATTGGCAGCATTACCAGTGGTCTGGGCCATGGGCTAAAGTAGAATGATATTAGAATAGATCTAGATCTATATTCAGTTATCAATATTCATTATTATTAGATCTAGTGACACTGTCAAAAACTCAAAAAGGGATGCAAATAATTTGATAAAATATAATTGGCTTGTCTGCATTAATTACTTGAAGTGAATACTCGGAAAAAGATTTTTTGCCCCAGCGTCTCCATTTGGTCGGCAAAAGATAGTTCTGCGCATGCGCAGTGACCTTAATAGCTGAGCTAGGGTTAGGGCTTGGGTTAGGGTAAGGGAAGGGATAGGGTTTGTAAACACAAGCATGCGCAGTATCATCGAAAACATCGCGACAAAGTCGTAGTTTCTCTCCTTTGCGCATGCATATCTTTTTCCGACTAGCATTGGCCTTAATTGCTAGCTGAACTAGCTAAAGACAGAACTATACCAAGATTAATTTAAGGCAGATGCTAGCCGGAACAAGATACGTATGCGCAATGGAGAGAAACTACGATTGCCATCGCGGCGATGTTTTCAATGGTTTTTCAATGGTTTTTCAATGGTACTGTGCATGCGTGTGTTTACAACCGTAGAACCCTAACACCAACCCTAATCCTATCCCTAACCCTAGCCCTAACCCTAATCCTATCCCTAACCCTCATTCAACCCTAGCCATAGGTCACTGCGCATGGGCAGAGCTATCTTTTGCCGACTAAGTGGAGATGTTGGGGAGAAAAATCTTCTGAGTAGTCACTTCGTTAATTTAAATCCTAAATAAGAACAGTTAGGCATACATAGTGGGGTAGATGTTAAATTATAGCTGCTAGCTAGCAGTCTGTGTTATTAATTAATAATTATGTCTTTAAAATGTTTTTTATTTAGTACGACAAGCCTTTTGAAGATGATGATCTCCTTGATTTGTCCACAATGACAATAGTTAAGGACAATGGTAGGTTAATTGTTTTCTTTAGCATTCACATTTTTTATGGTTAGGCCTAGAATGGCAATATAATTAGAATAAATATATTACATGTCCATAGTTACAGTACACATATCATATAGATCTAAGTCTAAGGACTTTGGTCGATAAACAATGAATCGGAAAATTAAAATTTTAATGTTTTTTTTTAGGTTACCTGAAAAAACAACACCATGTTCCTTTTGGATTTTCAAAACTTAAAAGCACAAAACAAAGAGGTATGTAAAAAATTTGATTTCTGTATTATATATGTTTTAAAAGTAATGTGCAATTTCAGATACATTCATAGATATCTATGGTAATCTTTTCTTGAAGTAATTAAAACGAGCCGACCCGCTGCGTATCATACACCGTTATTTAGTTGTTATATTTTCTACTTTTCAGTAATTCATAATTTGTGAATTCGACAGTACCAATGCTGCCACTGAAAATATTTGTTTTAAAACACTAAACCCCCCCCCCCCCCCCCCGTGAAAGCAGCCTCCTCTTAGTTACCTCCTGTAAGTTTAAAATAGTTTCAAACTAAATTATCTGCCCATAATAGCCGTCAACAAACCCGGCTCTACGATTTGTAAACATTTAGAGTGAACCACAGCTCACCAGATCATGTGGGGGTGGTAGTGATAGTGATAGAGAGGAAGAGAGGGGACTGCAAAGGCGCGCTTGCAGCTTGTTTTCTAACGGCTGCCAGAAGAGAATTATATATATATAGATTTTAATCAATTGCTTGATTTTACATCGAAATAAATGTTTTTATACATCGGCAAATTTGATTGCTTGCATTTTCTTGTTTTTCAGATAAACTAAAAAATGAGGTAAATTATTAAAATATATATTAATTTTCTATCTTCACTGCTTTGTATCATTCTCCTACCTAATTACAGTTATTAAGTCCCTAACTTTCTGACTCTAGATTCTTTGTTAATGTTATTACTGCTATTATAAAACTAATATTTATTTCTCTCTCTCTCTGTAGTACATTACACATTTCTTTATTTTACTATGTGCCCTTTTGATTTTAGATGAAGAGAAGATGAGAACCAAGTTATTTATATTACTTGTAATATTATTATTCTTATCATGTTTTGTTTAGGTAAAAAGCAGTGCACCAGTCACAGATCTTAATGTGTCAATGGCTATTGCACGTAAGTTAAAATATCCATGATAGAAATTGACTTTTCAAATTTTCAAGAGACCAAAAACAAATATGTTAATTTGCTAAGCTAAGTCTAAGATAATTAATAAATATGAATAATCACACTTATACCATTATTACACAAACCATGACAGTTGGATAAAATATTGATATTATGTTGTTTTTTTTTTTTAAATTATCTCCCCTTTAGATCTTACTTTCACATGCCCTTAACTTAACAGATATAAATTAAAATTCCTCAGGTGAATGTGCTTCTCATTTGAAGAAATATGAACCATATGATGACAGTGATGCAGAAACATTAAGTTCCAAGAGTTCTAGTAGCTACTATAGTGATAACAGTTTTGATAGTGATAGTAGTGATACAGGCAGTTGCAGTAGTGATTCATTCCATACACCAAGTGATGATTCATGTGTGGAAAATGTGGAGAGTTCCTTGAAAGAAACATTGAATAATGGTTATCCTTCTACTCCACAAAACTTAAGTAAAAGAATCGCTAGATTAGACATACAAGGTTTGCAGCATGAAACTTTTAATGCCAATTCAACCTTTTCAAGCAGTCTCAATGTTACCACCTCCTTAGATGATGTGACACTGGTTTCTATTTCAAGTCCTACCCAAAAGAATGGCACTTCTTTAAATAGAACTTTTTCACACGTACAGAATCAGAATAAAAGTACCCACTCATTTGATTTTCATCAAACATTTGTGGTTGAAAAGCAAGAGGATCGCTTGAGAAATTATGTGAACCCTGTCAAGTGTGATAATGACTTTATGATTCGGCGACGCATCACCCCCGTTGCAATAAATGGTGAAGGTAATCCAGGACTAGAAAAACAGCATCCCACATCACCTTTGACATCGCATCGCAGTCCTAGTTCATTGGGCACTAAATCTAAACTTTCACTACCAAAGAAACAGTTATTTAAACAGCCTGAATTCAAAAGTCCAGCTAGTAAGGAAGTTATAAATGCTGGGACCAAAATTTTGCATGCTGAGAACAAAATCATAGGAACCACTGCTTCTTTGTCACCTTGTCGGGCGTCGAGCAACACATACCTAGCATCAAAGCCAAAAAATTCTGTAGCCTCCAGTATTAATGTGCAAAGCAGTCCTAACTGTAAAGAATCTTTTACTAATTCAATATCATGCCAGACTGCTGATAGCCGTCTTAGCAGTTGCACATTTTTATCTCCTTCAGTTTCAAAAGATAGGTCATCAACCACATCAGCAAGTTTTAATTATGGTAACAGAGTTAAAAAACCATGTTCTTGTAGCACAGTTGGTCAGTCAGCTGATAGCAAGTATAGTAATAGTACTAATACTTCTTGCTGTCACCATGATCCATCCTTCACCATGGCTGCCAGTAGCAATTTTGTTAACAGATATGGAGTTAAAAATTCCTGTTCATGTAGTGAAAGATGCCGAACAACTGATTCTAATTTTAGTTGTGGTAGTGCTCCTACATGTCAACTGCAAACGGATCTACCCTTAACTAAGGCTGCCAGTTTTAATTTCGGCAGCAGTGCTGGAGTTAACAAGCCATGTGTTTGTAGATTGATCCAAGCCACTTGCAACAAAAGTTGTTGCAGAAGGTTATCATCCTTTTGCCAAGAGTCATCTAATCCATCTTTGTCAAGCACAAGATCGACACAGACTTTAGAGCCATCCAAATTATCGGGCACTACTTATTCTAATTACCAAGTTCAGACAAATAGGGCTGTACCGTGTTGCTTAGAGAGGCAATTAAATAATTGTGGATTTGATAAAAATAAATGGAATTTGGACACCACTTTAAAAAATACTTGTGGAGGTAGTGATAATTTAAAGTTCAAACGTAAGGCTGTTGACTCGCCCACAAGCGATTACTTTACAGATTTATCTCATTCATTATATTCAATGCACAACCACTTGCCAGTTTATCCCACCTCACAATGTGATGGTAAATTTGATGAACATTTTCAAACCTCCATTTTCAAACCCTGCCAGGAAAAACAGTGCTCATCAGTGGACTTAAGCAAAAGTTTGTTGGATGATTCTTGGCCAGCGCTGAAATCGCCTGTTAAACTTGATCGTAAAAAAGTACAAAAGCAGCTTCTGCTTGCAAGAAGGCGGCACAATCTTAGCTTCAGTCAGCAAGTGTTTTCTCACACTTTGCAAAATGTAATTCCACAAAGCACATTGAACAGTTCCATATCTTTGGGGTTTCCCAGTAAAGCCCATTCATTTCTTCAAAATACACTTTCAACATCCCACTCATGTTTTCACGGGACACCACCAAAGGTTGATTCATCAAGAAATCAGTTATGTCTGCAGAACTCGCTCTGTTCCTTTCTTCAAAACACTACATCCAAATTGTGTTCATGTAATCGGCAAAGGACACCGCCAAGAAGCGGTTCCTTTCTGCAGATGACGCCATCTAAAGTCCATCCATGCCTGCAGACCCCTCATGTCTGTGTAAACTTGACCAGTCCAGAAACCAAAATTGTAAAAGACAATGAAACCCAAACAAGCCATCAGTGCCAAGATAGTCATCAGCCTTTTGTGCACCAACAAGAACCAAACAGTTTTGGAATAGAACATCATTGTCACTGCAAAGCTTTGAAAGAAAAAGCCATTGTTCACTCATCAACCCAGCTTGAAAGCAACCAATCTCTCCCAATGTTTCCTGTCTCTTACATTGAAAAGTTCTGTCCCAACAATCCATTTAGAATAGATAGTGATAACTCAGCTGCTAACAACGATGCTCAGTTGTCTTTTAAAGATATAGTCAAAAGATTTAAGCCTAGAAGAAATAAACTACAACGCAACTCAACTTCCCATTTAAATAAGACATGTATACAGTCTGACTCATCCTTTGCTAGACCCACTACTCCCGTAGAAAGGCCCTACTTTAATATAGCCTCACCTGTAAAAATACCTAACTACAGCAAATTAACCTTTCAACGTAATGAACCATCAGCTAACAAACCATCATCACCTGTAAGTCCAATATGCTTGAATAAGCCATCGTCTCCAGTAGAAAAATCATTTTATACCCCAGCTATTGTGCCACCAAAGCCTTTCTTTAGAATGCCAAATAAAGTAAGAAAAGTTGCTCATCGTTGTCACACCTGTAATTCACTGACCAACGCAGAAGACCATCACTGTAAAAAACAGCCACCTCAGCTGTTTAATTCTACTTTAATAGATGGCTCAGAGTTTCCTTCAAACAAATCTTCTAAGCCATTTGTTCATCATGATTTAGACTTCAATGATACTCTCTCAACCATTGTTGCACCATCTAGTTGCGGAACAGATTTAGGATTCAGTGATGATGAACCTGGTACAATTAATAAAAGGTCCTCTTACAGCAGTGATGAAATAGATCTACTGTAAAACTTGCTTTGTACATTGAGTTTTATCCAAATGTCTAATCCATATTTTAGGCAAATGTAAAATGTGATTTATCAAAGGTTGAATTGTAAGAAGTTGTATAATAAAGAGATTAACATTTTTACATGTGTAAAAAGATCTGTTCAGGAATAAGCTGAGAAATGTCTGAGATATTATGTATTACTTATAACTAACTGACAAATACATAAGAAAAATATTATTTTAGTGAAATGTCTCAAAACTTTGTTGTTTTATATATAGGCCTACTTGGTTGGTGGACTTTCTATTTTGAATATAAATGCATCCATATGTAAAATTCATTTAGTATTAAAAAGTTCAGTTCATCCCTTGTTGAAAACCAATAGTTTGTTCTTTGTTTTTTTGTTGTTGTATTTGAAATTGAATTTCAACTCTTTATTATCTTGATTAAGTACCTGTTCTTGTTAGAGCTATAGATATCCACATTTTTGCTTGATCAAAAACATTAACTTAAAATACATGATACATAATGGAATACAGCCCACTTTATTCTAATGACTTTATTCTAAACATTGAAGAATCTACAGAATTATTTTTCCAGTCTAATGACAAGAGTTGATGATTGTTTGGTAAAAAAAAAACAAACTTTTTTTTTTTAGGTCTAACATACCTAACAAGCAGCTTACAAATTTGTGTAACTATTCACAATCTTGGATAAGGCTTGCCTCCTAACTAAAAGATGCAACCCTTTTTTTTTTATTATAGGAAAACTTAGTGATAGCACAATTAACAGTCCTAAAATATTTTAATTGTTGCTGGATGTAACTAAAAATTTACATAGCACAATTACATTTTATTTTGGAGCTAGAAGTTAGTACAAATTTTTAAAAATATGCTGGATCAACGTTTTTGCAAAATTTTACCCCCTTTCACTATAATGTGATATTACATCAAAATAATTGCAAACAAAGTCAAATTAGCAGAATACATGATAGGTTTATCACAAGAAAATCCTTCTCAAGATTAACCACTTTTATTAATTCTTATTACAATTGACAAAAATAATTCAGCTGATTGCAACTTTTTAATGGTTGAAGTGTGATATCACACTTTACTCCCCTTTCTTTGGAGTGTGTACAATTATGGCTTATTAAATTTTTGACTGGTTATTTCAATTTAGGCCTATTTGATTTATTATCCCAGTAATGACCCTATGGGTTTTGTTTGTATGCAATTGTCAAATGTGGCATTTTCCCCCCAATAGCTTAAATGTAAATCATAATTAATGATAAACACATTTTATTCAAAATGGGGTTTGTCCCATCTTGCTATTGTTGCAACTCACTAAGAAACACATCGTCGCAAAGGATTTTTTTGAGGAAATGATAGACTTATTACGAAAATGTTGACGGAAGTCTTATATTTGTATGCCTAACAGTAATTATTTAGATTTTAGAATCTTATTATTTGGCAATTTTTTCAATAATTTATCAGCCAAGACGGAAACCAACAAATAATCCTGCTTTAGTTAGTTCTAGCGGTTAAATAATAATTAATATAGATTTCTTCTTGCCAAATATAATACTAAATAAAGATCTACATTTAGAATCTAGATAGGTCTAGATTTCATCTTAGAAGATCTTGTTTTTCTACATTCTGTGGTAAATTAATATCTTTAAACTTAAAGCTAGACTTACTGCTGATTATTCATTCTAGATTAGCTGCTCTAACTCTAGCTAGATCTATGTACTAGTATGTACGTACCTACCCTACGTACTAGATTAGTGCATAATCAGCCATAATCTTACTTAAAAACTCTTAAGTCTTAACTTAATCTGCTGCCTAATCACAATCATCAGATAATCTAGCGGCTAACGAGTGCGTACTGAACTGTTACCTTTACTGTAATGAACTGTAACTGTAGAGTGTAGTCTCTGTATGTAGGGCTACTAGTCTGTGGTACTTAAGAGTAGAGTGTAGAGTAGATCTAACTTGAAGATCTGAATTCTAATACTAATGATTATTATATAACTAAATCTAGATTTCTAGATCTATACTATAAGTAGCTAAGAAAGTAGGCTAAGTAAAATGGGTGTGGGGAAATTGCGAGACGCGAAAAGCGAAATGGCGAGGCGGGAAAATGCGAGAAGGACGCGAAAACGGTCGGTCACATGACTTTTTTGTCTCGCATTTTACCACAACCCGATACTTAAGCTGGGTGGTGTTGAAATGCTAAGATTTCTGCGAAAAATTTACCGCACCCGATTTTCAGTGGTATTTGGTCCAGACTTCAAAGACGTTTCGTTTACATTGTTAAAACTTCCGATTTTTCCGTCGCTAGACATACTGATGATTTGTCAATTCCCCCCCCCCCCCCCCCCCCCCCCATCTTTTGTGTCGACTTAGAATACCACCTTGTTCGAAACCGACGGAAATACCACCGACAATAGATCAACTTCTTTCTTTTGTGTGGAACGCCGAAGCCGCCGAAACCGTCTTTGAAGATCGCCGTGCCCAGCTACCGAACGTGACGTCGCAGCCATTGAACGTGATGGCGCAGCTATTGAACGTGATGACGCGTGTGGTGTGGTTGCATAAAATGCCTAATAATTCGGTCCAAATTTTAATTAATTCAAACATTTTTTTGTGACCAAACGAAAGGATATTTTTGAAAACTTTCTTCGGCAATATTGTTCTAAATTATGGCAGGAATCGATTGGTACATGTTTCAAGTCGCTAAGTGGTCTGGTTGCCGAGATATGGGCCAAAAACTGCATTTTTTCGAGGTTTTTTGGCTTTTCCGGGAAATCCATGAAAGAAACCCGGAATTTTTATGGCCTATGTTCATCCTCGTAACTTGCTTAACATAATTGTTTTTGTAACTAGTCATCGATATTGCTTCGTTGAGGAGGAGATACGACTTAAAGCTGCGGACACACATCCATACATTCATCCATCCATCCATCCATCCAGAAATGACGGGTTAATAAACGCAATTCTCCAGAATGGAAATTGCGCTAAAAAGCAATGTTAGAAAAAGAATTTTAGACGTTTTTCGCGTTTTAGAAAACTGTTTTCATAAATTGTAATAGGAATTGATTAAAATACAGAAATTAGACAAGATTTGGGGAAAATATCGATGTTTTAAAAAAAAAATTCAACTGCAATTTTGAGGGGGGTTGTAGACTAAGGTGTGACGTCATTTTAGTGGGAGGGGGGGTCTGGATTTTTGTGAAAATGTGTGACGGAGGGGAGGGGGGGGGGTAAAAAACGTCATTTAGGGATGACCCCTTTTAGCTATTAAATGGTAGTTTTGTCCATAGCGGACTTTATTCAGATTATCTACAGACGCACATTTTTTTTCATTATGTTCATATTCGTGTTCTGTGTTAGCACAGTATAAATGGGAGTCTATTGAACTGGTGGGTTGGATGTACTATGTGTGAAAGATGGTGTCACGAGGTGTGTTTGAGTAGTGCCAGGACTGTTTCAGAAGATTTTGTTTGTAAATTTTGTTTGTAATTAAAATTACTTAATAAAAAATAAATTACACTTTTAAGAATTGTTTATACTTTTACACTTTTTGCAAGTACAACAATCCATGAATACATGTTGCAGAATATCTCTCCTGCTGACAAAATTATACCAATTCACAATGACACAGCTCACGTTTGTATAAACATGAGCGGGCTAGATTTTTAAAATTAATGCCGACTGAAACGGGATTTTCCTCTCGCTAACGAGAGCGGGCGATGACAGTAGCACAGCAACGATGTTAGGATTTTATAATAGATCTAGATCTAGATATAGATCTATCTATCTTCTTAGTATCTATCTATATATATTTATATATATATATATAATAAAATCTAGATAAAAAATAACAACATAGAACACTCGTGTTAAAGGGTATGGCTACATGCTAGTTTATTTTAAAACAAAAAAAAATAATTTAAATAAATAAAGATGAAATAAGCATGAAAAAAAAAAACTTTTTTTCGCAAAAAGTGTCTCGCTATTTACCCTTGATTCCGCAGGTATGTCTCGCATGATCTTCTCGCATTTTCCCGCCTTGCCATTTCGCTTTTCGCGTCTCGCAATTTCCCCACACCCAAGTAAAATAGGCAGATGCTAGCCGGAAAAAGATACGCATGCATGCGCCATGGAGAGAAACTACGACTTGCCTTCGCAGCGATGTTTTCGATGGTACTGCGCATGCGTGTGTTTACAACCGCAGAACCCTAACCCTAGCCTTAACCCCAACCCTATCTCTAACCTTAGCCCTAACCCTAATCTTAGCCCTAACCCTAGCCATAGCCATAGGTCACTGCGCATGCGCAGAACTATCTTTTGCTGACTAGGTGGAGACCTTGGAGCGAAAAATCTTTTTCCGAGTAGGCACTTTGAAGTAAATAATACAATAAACCTAAAACACGGGTTCCCAACCTGGGGGTCGCGACCCCCCTGGGGGTCGCGAAGGTCTTTCTGGGGGGTCGCCAACTGCTATACTAAACCTTAGTAATTTGAAACAAAACATAAATATTTAGAAGAATTTTTAAAATTCGGCTTCATTAACATCACTGGAAATGTAATAGAGAAGAAACAAAGCGCACTGTACAAAGTTGTTCTCAGTCACGAATCTATGAAATCTTTAAAACTAAAACGTCATTTGAGACGAGTCATTCGGAGCACACCAAAAAATATATGGAGTTCTTTCGTCTGTAAGAAGCTAGCTGCAAACGCCAGAGACTTGATCGAACAGGAAGTTTTCACCAGCATTAGTGCAAGCATCAAATGAAGTCGCGATAGAAAATGCCAAGCAAAAAAAAAAAAAAAAAACAATAGGAGAAAATCTCATCAAACGCTGCATGTACGTAAATGTTAAATAACACATTTTTATTAAAATTAAGCTTTCACCATTGTTTGCTTTTCAAGTTGATATATCAACATACGTGAGTTCGTGTTCGCAGTTGCTGGTCTGTGTCTATATTCATGCGGATGATAGCAAAGAAGAGTTGCTCTTTTGTGAAGATAGCAGCATGGAGAAAATAAATACCTTTTTTGAAACTGGATGATTAAAATGGGTTAGAACGGCTGTGTGGGTTTGTACGGATGGTGCGCCATCTATGTTTAGCTCAAAATCGGCCTTTCAGAAAACAGAAAAGGTTTAGCTCCCTAACCACTGCCCTAACCAATCGACACCAAGAGTCCATTGCTAGTATAAGTCGTAAATTATATAAAATCTGGAGCGTTCAAAGAACTGAGCAAAAACATTAATATAGATCACGAGGTTCTGCTCTTCTACACTACAGTACGCTGGCTGTCAAACGAAATGTTGTAAATTGTGTTTTTGAATTGAAATCTGAAATCAAATTGTTCTTGGAAGTGCAAAGGAAACAAGACTTCTTGGTATACTTAAAACGACATAGAGTGGTTTGAGAGAGTATCATACCTAGCAGATGTGTTCGAACATCAAGATAAGCTTAACCTGAAGCTTTAGGGAAAATGAACGAATATTATAACTTTCCATGATAATCTCGGGGCATTTTTATCAAAGCTGCGAAACCGGTAAAGAAAATAAATCTTGGAAATGTTGTAAATTTGAGAAACTCTGCGGTGTGGTAGATGAATCTGGTGGTGAGATAATTAAAATTTTGAAAGAAGTGATTTCTTGGCATCTTGAATCTCTTGAAAACGAATTGCATCGCTATTTCTCTGAGCTGAAAAAAGAAGAATCTGCATTTACGCATTACCCATTCTCTTCTTCCCTTGATGTTGTCAGCATTCCCGATGAATTACAAGATGAATTCTTTGATTTGCAGAATGATTCGGAGTAAGATGAAAAACTGCAGACACAATTTTGGTGTAGTATTTACCATTCATACCCAAACGTAAAATTGATTGACTTTTCGAGAATATATTTTCAACACTATTCTTCGATTAAAAAACAAAATTAAGATAATTATAATGACATAGGTTGGCGTTAACAAAAATTTTTAAAAATTAAAAACTTAACCACGAAGGTTTAGTGAATAGTATGCAATTTTACTCATGCTATTAAAACAGTTATCAAGAGTAGTTCATATTGAAAGTCTACTAGAAAATCTTATTTTAGTGCTTATTAATTTCCATACTAATTTCGGCTTTTTAATTCTATGGGGGTCGCGGGTCACTTTCTTTTTATAAAAGGGGGTCGCCACTCGAAAAAGGTTGGGAACCACTGACCTAAAATGTAGGCCTATAATAAACTGAAATTCAAAGTCTATTCTAGTTTCTAGATTCTAAAAAAGTGATTAAAAAAAGACTAATAAACAATATAAAGACTAATTAAGACGATTAAGAAGACTACCTACAATAGCTAGTTACTTAAGATTAAGAAGTCTGCGAAAACTGAGATACTATTGAGATGTCACACGAACTACCTATTTAAACAATAATGCAGGGCACAATGCAAAAAAGGGAAAGCCAAAGACTGTCATTGGATGGAGGACATAAAAATTTGGATGCTTATGATAATAGCAAAATTACACAGAGCAGCAGAGGACCAATAATAGAGTCTATAGGAATGGCAGAAAATGATTAGAAAATCATCTGTAGTGTCCCATCAATTCAATAAGAAAAGGGCAGAGTTTCTTCCAGGCATCTCTTTGAAGGGGGGGTGGGTGGGGTGGGGGGAGGGGGCGGTCATCCCCTCAAAAAAATTCTCCCCCCCCCCCCGAACGAAATGAAATTTATATAATTTATATAGAAAATAATACTTTTAACAGTGTCCGCCCCCCCCCCCCCCCCCCCCCGGAGAAAAAAATCTGGAAGAAACACTGGAAAAGGGGTGCACTATACTCACTGGTATTACTAATATTATAGCTGACCTCAGGGTACAAGGCAGATAACTTCTTTTAGATTTTGAACAACATTTTAATAATTTTAATATTTAGTGAAATAGAAATGATGGCAAGTTTGCAGATGTATGAGATAATGGGTCACTGATAATTTTCCTGTCACATAGCGACATAAATTAAATACTGTAGATTTACTCATTTAAAAGCCAACTTGTCTTGGAAGTAAATTTATGTGAAAAGAAATGTATGAAGTCTGATTATGCACAGATTGTTTTGTGATTATAATATAATTTTATCCAGGTGCATTGAAAAATGAGATTGTTGGTACTGCAAATTCCTTGTAATAGTGGATGATCATGACTGATGTAGATGAAATCAAGATTTAGAGTTGCATGTACTAGCAGTTATTTGTAAGAACAGAGTTGTGGAGGTAAGTCTAGGCCTACTTACCATTACTTTTCTTTTTTACAAGCTTTTATTCAGTTTGCAACACCTTTTTGTTTGTTTGTTTGTGTGTTTGTGGCAAATCTTGTAACTCAATTTTGACCCACTTCTAATGCAGCGATTTCATTCAAACTTCCAGATATGTTCCACTTCTATGACAATATAAGTCTATATATATATATTAATTTAATTAGATGTTTAATTAGGAATTGGTAATTAATTAAAAGGTTTCTAAACTATTCAATAATGGAAGGGGAGATAACTAGCTAGATGTGATCACCCTCACACTTTGGCGAGCTGTGGATCACAAGAATGTTTACAATCGTAGAGCCAATTGATCTATTAAAGGCTATTAGGGGTAGTAAAACAAGAAAATAAAACTAATTTTGCCACTCATGAGATCTTTTACATATTTTGCGACAAAAGCTTTTATGAAAGAAAGCAAATTAGTTTTATTTTCTTATTTTCAGTGCATTTAAAAAAATGATTGTTTCTGTAAATGTTTTTTTATATTTATTTTATTTTTATAAATGGGTCATACACTTTTCAAGTGTTGTAGTTATTGAACAAGATGAATGGTTAACTAGTATGGGTATCTAGAGTCGCTTAAAAAATCTTACTCTTTGTAATGTGAAAGTAAAGTACCCTTTCTAGGGCAGACAAAATAGATTAATATAATCTTGGCATTTGAAGGGATTGTTTTATTCAGATAGGGTTAGCAGTCAAGCATTCTATCACATCATCTATTTCATTTACTATTTTTAATTTAGCCAAACAAAATTATCTGATCAGCTAGATAATAATGTTTATAAATGTAGATGCCAACATTTTTTTTATGCTTCCTCAAGCAGGCAATGAAGTCATGACTTGTAATTGTAAAGTTCCTGCTCTTGTGGAGTCTCATGACTTAGCTGGACTTCAAAAGGCAATAGAAGACCCCAACATGACATGTTTCACTTACCCCTGTCATTTTCAACCTGGCCTGAATAAACATATGAGAGAATATATCATGGAAAACCAAAGGTTAGTTCAGTTTAGCTACTCTATACAAAAACAGGCTAAGAATTTTTACAAAACAAGTTTACACAGGTTTCACTCCGAGCAATAAGAAAATCTTAATTTTTCTTGTATTTTAAATTTATTATTTTTGTCAATAACAGATTTGAAACAAAACATTTTTAAATCATTACAAACTCAATAGCTAGTAGGTACCAAAGTATTACTAAACTGAAAATATTTATTGTTTCATTTCCCTGTCTTTTATAGCCTGCATCACACCAATTTAATAATTCCAATTTAATTTCTTCACAGTGTTGTGGAAAGAGCTTGTGTCTTGGGGTACTTTGACATCCTGGAGCTGTTTCTTGAGAATGGATGCAGTGCCAACTTGCCGACAAGTCACGGACGTCTGATCCACACAGTGCTGACGTCACTCAAGTCACACCGCCAGTTGTTGGAAAACGGGACAGCTCTGAGGGTTATCCGTCTGCTTCTCTCCATGGACTGCGATGTGAATGTGAAAAACTACAAAGGGAAATCACCCCTGATGTTGGTGTCAGAGTTGGCCGACCCTGACCTGATGAAGCTGTTGTTACATCACTGCCTGGACTGGCAGATAACCACAGCCAACAAGGACAACTGGCACACGCCCCTGCATATGGTCTGTATGAAGGGCAGCGTCCAGTGTCTGTCTCTTCTTCTCCCGCGGCTACACCTGGAAGACTTGCACAGGGTGGACATGAACAACTTCTCACCTTTGACCTGCAGTCTAATGGTGATGAGGAACAATTTAGTCTTCCACGGCGAAGACAGCCGAACTGAAAAATCCCTGCTCAAAGTCCAGTACAGCCATTTTGCCGTAGTTGAGATAATCATACAAGCCAATAATAAATTTTGCACGCGCTCAAAGAAAAAAGATTTCCCTAACTTATGGACAGGTCTGCGTATTGCTCTAGAAACTTCTCATCGTTATGAATTAATGCGAAATGCATCAACACTATGTACAAACCATACACCTGAAGGCTTAGACAAAAAGTTTAATTCATTGTATGCAGAATTAGTCCGCATGTTTGTTCAGTATTGCAATATCCAGTTTGTTTTCTTGAAGGATTTACTGGCGTGGAAAAATAAAAACCCTTGTAAGCATGAACTGGTGAGAGAAGTGGAGGAGTTTGTAGAACAGAGAGATCTAGTATCCACTAAACCGTCTAGTCTTCTATGCCAGTGCAGGAAGGTCATAAGGTTACACCTGGCGACCTGCGACCAGCTATACATGTTGGAGACATTGCCGTTACCCAGAAAACTAATTGACTATGTCAGGTTTCTGGAGTTCTGATGGTGGGACACAGTGCTTGTGAATGTGGAGTAATTCAGTGAAGGTGGGAATCCAGTAACATGTGTACAGGGTGTAGGATAGCCTGTACATTATGATGATATGATGTGTCATTGCTGGCAGTAACAGTGCTACTGAGTCAGTGATAACAGCATATTTGATGATGGTATTGTTGTGTGAAGTACCATTGCTAACATCTTATATTATGATGGTATTGTGTAAGGTACCATTGCTAGCAGCATATTTGATGATGGTATTGTCGTGTGAAGTACCATTGCTAACAGCTTATTTGATGTTGGTATTGTTGTGTGAAGTACCATTGCTAACAGCATATTTGATGTTGGTATTGTTGTGTGAAGTATTGCTAACAGCATATTTGATGATGGTATTGTTGTGTTAGATATCATTGCTAACATCATAATTGATGATGGTACTATGTGAATATCATTGCTAACAGCCTATTTGATGATGGTATTATTACCATTGCTAACAGCTATACGATCTCTTGTTTATTAAAATAAAAGAAGTTGAAAGTATTAGTTTAGTATCTCCTTGAATATTTGAAAAAGATGGCTACTTTACCATCACAAATTCAAAACAAGTTTCTAATTAAACCTTGGGTTGGGTTGATTAATAATATTTTTTTAAAGGCTTTCAACACTTGAACAAGGGAGACAATGCCATTTTTGTTAATCATTGCCCTTTATAACTTCTATTTATATCCCTTCTCCCACTAATTAAATTATAAATCTTCCCCTGCTTCATCACAGTATTTCTCTCATTGTTCAACTTCTCATTATTGTTTCTCATCATTGTGTGCCATAATTTATTTATTTGTAACCTCATTCTTATGTGCCCTCATTCCTGAACATGCATTAAAAATTGAAGAAAAAACATTTTTTTTTCATTTACCTATTTGTAAATTTTACGCAAGCTGTTGCATATTGTAGTTTAAATATTTTACATAACAACAGGAACAAATCAAATAATATTTGTAAATTGATTAACACATACATACACATTACCTTCTCTTCCTTTTCCTATTGGTCCGTTATAGACAGTCACTGTATCACAGTTGTTTTACACGGTATTTGAATATAAAAAATGCTATTGGTATTACATGGATACTTTTTTTTTCTGCTGGTGTTCTGTTAACTAAAAGATAACAGGATATCGTCCAGTTAACGAACTATACTTTTTTCACCATCTGATACAATACATCAACTTTATGGCTCCATTGAGCCTCGGGTGTAGAGGAGTAGTTGTGTCCTTACGCTCCCGATGTTATCCACAGAGGAATGATGATGGAGATTTAGCCTAGGGCATTAGATAAAAAGATCATAGGTTGAACATGCATCGTGATCTCTTTCTTGATCTTTTGCCTTTATAATATAATATAAAGGATTTGCTATTTTTTTGAAATGCTAAGCAAAACGTTTGGTACCAGCTTTGCCAAAGAAATTACTAACAGTATTTTTACGAGAACATTTCCATCAATATTTCTGTTTTAATGAGACTAGATGTATCGAATAGGCCTTCTGTTATTACTGGGATAAGTTCTACCGAAATCTGATTAACTAGAGTTCCCTCCCTTAGCCCATCACGCTCTGTGGCTTACTACCATTTACTAATTTATGCGACACAGACCTCCTCCTCACTGGTCTGGCATATTGAATGAAGTCTTCAAACAGCCCGATAATAACAGGGGACCTATGGCACTAGCACTAAGCTATTTGCTAAAGTAGGGGTTTCCAAACTACGGCCCGCGGGCCGGATGCGACCCGCGAGGTCCTCTTGTCCGGCCCGCGGAGATCTTTTTGTTAACGGAAAAATTTTTTTTTGTTAGAAATGGCTGAGGAGCTTTGCCCAGAAAATTCAAAACAATTTGAAAATGTAGCTTTGGGTGCTAATACCATTGCCCTCGGTGTTGCATACATGAATGAAAACATTGTGACTCAATAGTGAAAACTGATAACAAGACCTCCAGCTGCAGTTCCAGTAGCGGTTTTCTGACTAGGATTCAAAGGCAGAAGTGAGACTGTTTCAAACCCCAATTGAAGCAAATGTAACCAGTTGCCAAGATGAACTGCAGATGGAGGTCATTGAATAGCAAGCTAATGACCTCCTTAGAGACAAGTTCAAAAAATGGCGGGTGGGTTTTTGTGTTTGCCCAAGGAGAACATACTTGGACCTCGAGTGTGTTGTTGGCCCCCGACAATGTTTCTTTCAGACTTTTTCTCCAGGGTAGGGGGTGCATTTAAAATGTGTATATATTTCTATATAAATTATATTTCGTTGGGGGGGGGGGGGGTACGGGGATACCACCACCCCAAAGAGATGCATGGAAGAAGCTCTGGTCCCCAAACTGATATTTGATAGTTAATGCGGCCCTCGAGCTGAAAAGCTTGGAGACCCCTGTACTAAAGGAACAAGTCGAAATTGATGTCTTCATAAACTACCCCCCTCATGATAGATAACGCCCCTAAACGACACTAAATACCCCCTCCTCATTTCCCTAAACTCACTCCGGTACTACTATAAATTTAATATTCTAATGTCATCCAAAACAAAGCTTCCCTGAAAATTTCAGCGCGCTAGCTAACTGGGAAGTGCCAGAAATTTCGATCGCAAGATTTGATTGGAAAGACAGAGACGAAAGCAAGTTAAAGAAAACGTGGGGGAAAAAAAGAATTAAATAATGGGAATAGCGTTATTTTAATAGAAAAAAATTACTAAGCTTTATACCGTAATACAACAGTATTAGCATTGCTGTGTACCCCCCCCCCCCCCCCAACAAAATGTAGTAAATATTTTCAGGTGTATTTTTAAAGTGTTATTTTTTAATTTTCTGCTTCTCTCCCTTAATCTCAGTGATAAAGCCCCCTTAACTAAACTATGAGTTGCTACCCTTATTTTCCTTAGCCTTATTAAACAATACCTACATACTTGATCCCATGTACTGGCATTCAGCAGTGATTCTTTTAAAACGTCGTGTTTTATTTTATACATCCAACACAAACAATACAATACTACAAAAAACCGCGAGGTGAAATATTTATTTTTGTGTCTGAAATATAATCCACCAATCACGGGGAGGCTTTTCTCGGCTGAATACACGCCTTTAAAACAACAAAGGAAACAACAACAATGGGACAAGGATCAATAGCACTGGATCACAAAACAGGTCTGTCGAGTTCTTTCAGACGTCAGCTCCCGCGAAAGTAGGATCGTTGCTGGGGTTCAATTACAAAAATAATTTTGATTAATCGTTACATTTTTAAACAACATCTCTAATAAATCATCGGTAAAAAGAGATCTTGAACAGGGAACAAACATCCGTTTATTTTAACGGAAGCTGCTTTGTTTTGTTGTTGTTTAGAAAGATTCTCACAAGTAGCGTAATTAAAAATTAATGTTCGTTCGTATGAGCTAGACTCTAGGCCACACAATACAAGGCACTTGCTTTTGTTTTAAACCTGTGTACCATGTATGTTTTACGAGAAATAGGGTAAGAGATAATATAGTATATATATATATATATATATATATATATATATATATATATATATATATATATATATATATATATATATATATATATATATGCATGTATGTAGGCGATGGATGGATGAGACTGTGTATGTATGTATGTATGTATGTATGTATGTATGTATGTATGTATGTATGTATGTATGTATGTATGTATGTATGTATGTATGTATGTATGTATGTATGTATGTATATATGTATGTATGTATGGGTGTATGGATGTATCATGTATGTATATTTATGTGTGTGTTTATATATATATATATATATATATATATATATATATATATATATATATATATATATATATATATATATATATATTGAAAATGTTTTGCAAAGCACAGGATTTTAACGAAATTATGACTTCAACGATACGATGATACATAACACTGAGTAAAAACCTACCATTAGTTTCAACACTATGATATATTTTGATGTAGTTAGTCCCGTACAGTTTGTTTGAGGAAAAATGTCTACCCGTTGTAATTATAACAGCGTGAGGTTTCTAGGTTGTGTCTGATATATAGTCCCCTTTTTGAACATTATACCCGTTTATTTATTTCTCTGATAGATGTCATACATGAACAATATACACGTTTATTTCTGTCACTGAAAGATGATATTCATGAACATTCTACCCGTTCATGTCATTGATAGAAGATATTCATTAACATTTATGTATGTCACTGATAGATGATATTGATAAACATTGTAACCATTTATATAGTAGATGATATCCTTGAACATTCTACCCGTGTCATTCTGTCACTGCGCCAACTTTTTAGCAATGACACACCAGTTGGCGTGATCGTAGAACGACTTTGTGATCTCTAGAGACGGCACATGCCCGTTGATAAGACCCTCGAGCTCGCCTTGTTTAAAGACGTGATAATAGCGGCTCAAGGAGTTATCTGCCCCTTCTGCTAAAGCGTCTTTTGTTTCGTTTAAATGCAATTTATTAGTGGGCTTTTTCTTTTTTATTTTATTCCTCTGTTTATCAGGTGCGGTACTTCTGTTTGATGGCGTGTTTGTTGATTTGATGTGGTTTGTGGTAGGGTTGGATCCCACATCAGTCGTGTTGCCCATTAGTATACCTTTCATAATGCTGGAGTGGTTGACGTTTGAGTTTCTGTTGCGGCGGCGAGACCTCGTTTCTTTTTCCGGCGCGGTAAATTGTTCCAAACGTGAATTTAAAATTTTATTATGATAGTGTACAGGATGGTTTCCAGGGTGGTGATGTTTTTTTGTAAACGGGGATTCGTGGGTGTTTGTTGGGTTGGTGTAGCCGCCGAGCAAGGATGGGTTGAGGTAAAGTTTTGAGGAATGTTTTAAGGCGGCCGTTTTGTATACGGGTCGGTTGCTAGTACTGACTTCAGATTCGGTGGCGTAAGAGGTCTCGGTGGAGTCGGAGACCTCGGTGGAGTCGGAGTCCTCGGTGGAGTCAGAGTCTTCGCTGGAGGCGTCTGTGCTGGATGAGCTGCCGCTGGTCGTGGAGTCACTGGTCGAGTCGCTTGTGACGCGGCTGTTTGACGTCTTAGCGTTACTGGTCGCGTCGGTGGTGGAGAGTTGGCTGCTTGTTTGGGAGTCATTGGTCAAGGTGGTGTTGGGGACGTGGACGCTTGTCTGAGAGTCACTAGTCAAGTCGATGTTAGACACGTTGCTGCTTGTAAATGAATCACTGGCCGATACATTTTTGGATACTTTCCTAAAAGGATAGCGACTGGTAACAACAGTTTTAGGGATGGGACTATGTTTTTTAATGTCACCATTTAACTTGTACTGGTCCCTAAGAGGATCGAACATTGACACAATGTGTGTATTATCTTCGATCTTTTTGTTAGTCCATTGTTTATTTCCGTTATAATTCATTTCAATTTTTTGCTTGATATCGTTGAATGGAGCAGAAGCTTCAAATATATCCTGAGGCGGACATGACGTAACAGCTGGCGGATGTACAGGTGGCGCTGATCTAGCGTTGTTTTCATCAAGATTGTCAACACTGCTGAGCGGAAATTTCCGAATGGCGAAGTTTGTTTGTTTCATCTGGTGAAAGACAAGCCTAGCCGTGAAATCCAGTTGATCTAGGATTAGATCTTCCGGTACACCGTCTCCTAGCAACGTCATAGCGTCGGAGAGATTCATCTTTTCGTCCGCCTGTTTTAATTCCGTTTTCCTAGTTTTTAAAGAATCAATTAAACTTACAGGTATTTTCGAATCACATTCTTGTTTTATATTACTGTTATTATCTTCTTTGATAACTGTTGATTCCGCTTGCGGTTGTTTTTTATTTGGGTGAAAACTGTGCGTCAATTTTCGAAGCATATTTTTAACATTTTCCGGAAATGTCGTTTTGACATGCGATGCCGTAAGCGCTTGATCAGGCACAGATTCCGGTATAAGTTCACATATTTCCGGTGTCTCCTCCGTCCGGTCTGGTGGCTGTTGTAGCCGATCACTTTGTGGTTGTTCAGAAGTCTCACTCTCCGACCACAAACGGGAGGTTATCTCATAAGACGTGTGTGACGCCTCAGAGTAATCTTCAGAAGCGGTGCTGCTCGCTCTACTACACTGTGATGAAATCGAAGACCGAATCTCATCCCCAATACCGTTTGTTAAAGAGTCCCCCATCCCGTTTGATACACAATTCTCGGTGGTGTTTACATCACGTTTTCGCCGTCGAGATCTCGGAGAGTATTTTTGTCTCAGGTTTCTCTTCTGAGCTTCGGGAATGTTTTGGAAATTGGGACTGAGATTATATGTTTGGTTTAGTTGCTCCGTTGGTTCTTCATCGCTTTGGGAGTTTGATTTCTGCGATAAACTGCGGAGCATTCTCCCCAATTTGCGGCAATCTGATATGAGCATATTGCTGAAGTTCGTTGGGTGTCCCAGCTTACGAACACGACATGATTGTAGACCCACACCTTCCTGAAGATCGCTACTGTCGTCCGTCCCATTGTTTGTACAATCCGTTATATTGTATCCACTTTCCGGCGGAAGATCGCACGTTTGTTGAGTATATAGACGATTCGCAGGGTTGCGCACTTTCATTTTGGATGATACTCCAGTGTTGACATACTCTTGTCTAGGTAGTGACTGACTTTCTTGATACGCAGGAGCACCAATAACCTGCCCATACATATTGGCGACTGTTCTATTTAGTCCTGAAACACGAAATTATCTTTGATAAAGACATTTTCAAATTGACATTTGGTTAAATGGGGAAAAAAACATACATTCATAAAAAAAATAAAAGTAAAATAGTTATTTAACCAAATCGAAGTGTTACTGCTAGTGTTGATTAAATTAAAATCACCTATACTTATATTTATGAGAGTTTCTTTAGGCATCTGTTGTGTGTGTGTGTGTGTGTGGGGGGGGGCTGTATTAACATTTTTTGTGGGACAACCTAAATTTAAGAATAGGTAATACCAAAATCGACCACAGTTTAGAGAAAAAAAAGAACGAACCATTTGACTTCGGCTTTTTCCAGGGAATGAGGATGTCTTGACTCTCAAACTGAAATAATGTATGGTCGTTAGTAATTTATGTTCGAATATTTGATTACTTCTGAGGTAGGCCTACATCATAGAGATGAAATTTATGGATTAATTGCTGACTGAACAAATTAATAGTGATTTCTTTGAAAACGCAACAGATAATAGTCATGCCAATAGTATCGGCGAAATCGGGTGTCTATGTAAGTATATGTTATTAATATAAAGCTACACCACTTATGTAAAGCTAGGCCACTGAAGTAAATCTTCAGCATTGGTGTAAAGCTAAACAAGAGATCTACTAAAGATACTACCTTTCTGTATTTCTGTTCGAAGGCCCAAACGTAAATCAAGAGCTGTCCATTGGACGAGAGAATTCTAGAAAGTTCTTTCAATGCTTGGATTCTTCTCTCTAGTGAGGAGAAGTGATGAATGACCCCTGCAGGAAATTAACAAGAGATTTTTTTTTATTGATGTCCGTCATCGTTAGTTAGGTTATCGTTGTTATTGTTAGTTATCGATTGTCATTGCTGGTGTAGGTAGCTATGGTTGATATTAGCGGTATTGTTGTCATTGGTTGCTGAATGTAGTTATTGGATAGCTGTAGTTCGTCATTGGAGAATGTCACTGTTAGCTAGAAGCGTCACAAGGTGAGGGCATGGAGAGGGTGGGGGGGGGAGAGACTGAAAACACTGCCGGGTAGGTTATATTTACTGACCTCACCACTGTCCCATTTGGACTTAACTATGTTTTTTAAAAAGACTTTTCACCCCCCCCCCCGTGGGGTGTGGGGCAGAGTTTTTCCAGGCATCTCTTCGTGGAAAGTCTACTGCCACCCCCCCCCCCCCCGAACGAAATAGAGGTTAGATAGAAAACATATACTTTTAACAGTGTTCGTCCCGTCTCCCTCCCCCACGAAAATTTCAAGTGCACCCCCACCAGGAGAAAAAAGTCTTGAAGAAAAACTGGGAGGGGGGGGGGATGCATTTGAAACTTCGTGGGGGGGGGGGTGGGAGTGCATTTAAAATTGCAAATTTTAACTAAACTATGGAGGGGGTGCGGCAAAGTTAAAAAGTTAAGGTATATATTTTCTAAATAAAGATGATGCAAGAAAGAAACTCAGGAATTAATCCGAATTAACCCTTGCTCTGATCCTTACCAAACTCTGACCCTACTCTAACTTAAACTCTATCAGCTAAAAGTTAAAAGCCTTATTGTAAAAAAAAAATCAGTTCTTCACTAAATACTGTATTGATTCATTGAAATGCCGGCGATCTCATAAGTACCAACAATATTACCAACTGAATACACCGCGTCGAAAACGCCATCTCGGTACGGCAAACGTAAGTTGTCTGCCGCGGTGACCTCGTGACCTCCGGCCCTGGCCTGTTCCAAGAAGGGCAGGCAGACGTCTGAACCCACGCTGTACAGGGGCGAGTTGACGTTTAGATATCGACCACTGCCACATCCTGAAAGTAACATCCGGAAATTTAGATCATTTAGAGTTACTCCGCTTTAATTAAAAACATCGATTTGACTTTTAAATATATTTTAAGATAATTTTGTTTTTATTACAAGCTTTTACTAGTATTAACTGGGGGGGGGGGGGGTATTAAATTAAGGGGAGTATTCACTGCCTATGGATCGGCGCGGCCTAGCGGTAGAAAACTTGTCTTCTAACCGGAAAGTCTCGAGTTCACCCAGCTCCGATGGGTACCTAACAAAGGCGACTGGTCATAGTGCTGACCACTTTATCCCCTTGTATGCCGAGGGCATTGAAACAGATGAACTCTTCGCCTGTCTCAACAAATTATTTAAATACTCATACTTTCTATCTGCATATATTTCGGTCTGGATCTGACCTGATAAGAGATTACAAGACGACCCCGCTTCTAACGTATAGCGTATAGGTTATAAAGAATGGATACTTCATTTGACATATGCTCTGCCAAGTCCATTTTCTATGTGCGCGCAACTAATACTGTTTAGCCAACACCAACTTTTTACACCTACACAAATGTAGGACAACATGTTGTACATTACTTAAACTGATTGCAGACATCAATCGACTTAGTCAACAGATTTATTCAACTTTTTAAAAGGAGGGGGCGCTAAAATCCGTAAACACACGGTGAAGGGGGTGAAGCCCCGCATGCACCCCTAGATCCGCCAATGTCAGCTGTCTCTATACGACTACTACCGATAGAAGCAACCAAAAATCGATCACAATCAAATATCTGATTGCGAGCATAATTCGTACAGGAAGCGTGCTTGTTATCTGGCATATCAAAGCATCAAAGATTGGAAGACTATCAAATCGCAGACGTGTGTCAGCCGATACCAGCGTCGTATGGGGGGGGGGGGGGGGGCATACGAGATCAGACGAGAAATAATTAATGCGACCTTATAGCTCAATGTCTGGCGCGTTTTTTTTCTCTCCATAATCGTGTGCACATTTAACCAGGAACTGATCCTATTACACACAGCGTTTTCTTCAGGCATCGCTTTTCTTATAATGAAAACATATACTTTAACCAGCTTCCATCCCCCTCCCTAACGGAATTTTCACCCCCCCCCCCCTAAGAAATATGTCTGAAAATAAAACCCTGATTACACCTGCTTTGGCCTTTCTTTTAACATGTGATAATGTAAGTTGATACTGTATTCGCATTAAAATATCATTTGATTGCCTGCTGTTGCCTTAAAGGTCGGGCTGTTAAGCTTTTGAACATTAAAAAAAAGGATTATTATGTACTAGATTTGTAATATGGCTGCAGCTATAATAGAAACAGTGCGAGAAAAGTTCAGTAAGCTAAGTGTTAAGCCTTACTTTAGGTAAACAACAATCATTCAGTAGGCTAAGTGTTAAACCTTACTCTAAGTAAACAACAATCATTCAGTAGGCTAAGTGTTAAACCTAACACCAGGTAAACAACAATCATTCAGTAGGCTAAGTGTTAAACCTGACACCAGGTAAACAACAACCATTCAGTAGGCTAAGTGTTAAACCTGACACCAGGTAAACAACAATCATTCAGCAAGCTAAGTGTTAAACCTAACACCAGTTAAAATAAAACTCACAACAAAGGCGTACTCAGATAACACGACATAATTTGTTTATCTTGTGGAAAGATGTATTGATTTTGCTCGCAATGAGAAACACTCAGTGAAATAAGCCTCAACCATTGAGGTTTGATTCAATTGTTTCCTTCAGGCATCTCTCAGGGGAAAAAGGGGGGGGGAGGGAAAACATCTACTAGAACCATTGTTCATGTCTACAGCCAGGAGGTAAAAACTTCAGGGGAAAAAAAAGTCAGGTTTGATGAATGCATTGCTAAATCTTCCTTTCGAATAAAATACTACAGCTGAAGAAAACAGTTCAATAGTTTAAACCAAGCTTAAGCTTGTACGCAAGAGCTTATTCCTAAAGTACATCGTGATATCTTCAACCACATGCAGGTCAATACATTTTTTAAAATCCACAAAAACAAGCGCAGATAAGATTTCCGATGCAGATAGCCGGCCATGATTTATTCACCTCTAAAAGCGCGGTGTCTCGCCGCCATTGGTGTGACACGTGTCCGATTGCTTCTTGCTGATTGGTTGGTTGGGGGAAACATTTAACGAAATTACTCTATATTTTTTTTAAATAAGAAGAGAGAGAGAGAGAGAGAGAGAGAGAGAGAGAGAGCAGCCGATCAAACACTATTTTCTATGAAAGACTCAATGAAATTATCAATGACAGAGTCAATGATAACTACCGCTCTCCTGTATTTTTCTCTCGAGAAACTCAATGATAAAGCGTTAGTAGTTATAAAGAGAGAGAGTTTATCAAAACGGAAATAATTCAACTAGTTTAATTAATAAAGCGTTAAACGTAATTATTAATTCTTAATTTCTCAGCGATTGATACAATTGTTAAGGGACAGTTAAACTATTTTTAAAAAAATATAGATCCTCGATCTTCATTTATAATTTATTAATTAAAATAAGATTTTTAAAAAATAATTAAAACAGGTCTGTGTACTATATTATTAAAAAAAAGCAACTAATGAATATAATAAATAATTTTGACTATTTCTCTTTCTAAACCTATCGAATATATATTTTTTTTTAAATGCAAGGTAATCTTTTATAGAACCTACATGATTAACTTTTCTTCTAATAATAAAAAAAAAACTCTAAATAAAAACTATTATTCCTACAAATATTAGAGTAGTCTCCCTTGACAGTTTCTATTCGAATGTATTTTGTGTTAATTTTCGTTATGAAATACAGTTGTTTTTTTAAATTAATTATATAAGAAAACAATCTATCTCTGTGTATATTTATTTTAAAAAATATTACAATAATTAGAATAGGTGTTTCTGGTTAAATAGCAATTATTCTCATTCTAAATCTTTGGCTATCGAGTTTCATGGGTTTTTAAATTTAAGATTATGAACACATTGGCTTGACGAAAATGATTATATATACTTAAATACATACTAAAATTTACTTTTGTTAATAAACCTACACTATTTTATGCACACATACAAAAAAGAATATTTTAGCGGCAGTTACAACGTCAAAAAAAAAAAGGAAACTCCTCTATACTGAATAGTTCTACGTAACAACAAAAATGTAAAAATACATAGTCCTAGAGAACACTAACACATACATATATACATACGAAGATATGTGTGGGTGTAAGTAGGATGTGAGGTGGGTAGACAGGCGGGGTGGAAGGAAAGCAGTTTGGCAGGAATAACGGTAGGTAGGAAAGTAGGTAGGCAGGCAGCAGCGCAGGCAGGTTAGTAGATAGGTAGGTACGTAGGCAGGGAGTTAGGTATGTAGGTAGGTGGGCCTAGGTAGGAAGGCGCCTCACTCGGTATAGTGAGCGATTATGGTAGCCCATCATATTCATAGCGTTTCGCAATTATTAAAACGAACAAATGTACCATAGTACTCACGGGAAAACCCGGGGAGCTAAATAGAACCCTGCCGGGGCGCCACCAAATCGAATTTTTTTTCGCAGAAACCACCACATGGGTATTAGCATTAGCTTCTCAAATTTGAATGACAAACGAATGAAATCTTTGGTAATGCTTAAACAAACAAACCCACATATTCTTTTTTTTGGGGCGCGGGTTTGTCCACACTGCCGCCTAGACGCTCCAAGGCTCACTGTATGAAAGCCTTGAGTGTACGTTAATCAACCTCTGTAATAGTGAGATAGAACACACATTGGCGACCGCCCTTGTGTTAGAGACGCGTCCCTTGGTGCTCCAGGGAGCCACTGGTTATACTTCCGCAGGGGCGCCCCTAATTCGGTTTAATTATAAAATGTCGTGTGCCACCGTGTCCCTATTGTAGGGTGCTCTTTAAAGAGTCACTCTCGGTAGAGCCCGGGGCGCTCGCTGTCGCCAACTGCCAGGGCGCCGGCGGGCGCTCATTATTCTACTTAGTGAACATTTATAGTAACCCATCTAAACCGTAGTGTCGCCCGAGGTGGGTCTTGGCCGCTCTGGGTCATTCAACCGCCGGGGAGCTGGCGGTTGAACCTGGTGTAGTTTTATCATTGAATCTCAGAGGCGTAGCACCATTCCTGGCGCCTGGGGACAAATTTTCAATTTGGCGCCCCCCCCCTCCCGCCGGCGACAAACTTTCAATTTGGCGTCCCCCCCCCCCCCCCCGTATTTTTTTATATTTATAATGCAAAACTGTATCTAAAATGAGCTTTAATGAGCGCCAAAAGGGGTAGACAATTTTTAAAAAATCCTCATTCTTCATTAAAATTTAAGAAAACAGATTTATACATGACTGATATCCTCAATTATTTTATATAGAGGAGTGTATGTAGGGATGGGCGCCTTTTTGCCAGCGTTTGAATAGGGTTGGCACAACATTGATAGTTCGCCCCGGGCGCCGGAATAGGTTGCTACGCCTCTGCTTCCTGCTAGGACGCCGCCCTGGCGAAATCTTTCCGGGGGGGGGCGTGTTGGGGGGGGGGGGGCGTGCGGACACTGTTAAAAGTATTTTTTTTTCTATATGAATTCCGTTTCGTTCTGCTTTCCCCCCCCCCCCCACCCCCCACACCCCCCCCCCCCCCCCCGAATAGATTCCTGGAAAAAACTCTGTTCACAAAGTTTTATGGCGATCCGATGAAAAAGAAGTAGTAATTCATATAGGACAAACAGATAAACATACTTTCATTTCTATAAATATAAATAGATATATACTTCAACTAGTGTCCGCATACCCGCACTCGGAAACTTAGTCACAATTTTATTTGTTACATTTGAACCCTTTAGGTTAATTAATATTAACAAAATTGAACAAGATGCAACAAATACAGTTAACCAAGAAATTGAACAAGTAAAATTCATGTTATCTTTTTATTGTTTTTAGATATAGAGTAGTAACAGACTACCTACAGGTCCTAACTCGCGACGAGGTACACATTTGTATTAAAACACAGATCTAAGACATTTTCTATTTAGGTGGGTTTTGCAGTACAGTGGTTTCTTACTTTCTTAAGTCGTGGACAAGTGATTGCGCTTATCTCTGTTGAGTAGCAATGTATTCTGTCCTATATTAGACACATTTGTAAATATCTGTCACAATATGGGCATAGAGATGATATAACGATAGCTTATCTTTGCGGACGACGCTAAACTTTGGCATCGACACCACGGCCTACAAGTTCAAATTTGGTCCTTCAGAAATGTTTGAAGTCTCTAGATTAAAACTACTTTTCTCTTTTATGTGCCTATTGACCACATCACATGTATTTGTTCTGAAAGTCTAAAAACAGAGGCACAAATATATCGTCTAGACTTGTGAGGTCTACAGATTAGGTATTTTGGCAGTTATCTAAGCCCTTGCCTGTTCTGACTCAAAGCCTTATTCTTTCTCTATCGACGCCTTGCGTAACATGGGATTGGGTTTTTAAGGCGGCATAAAGCTTTATGTTGTTCCTTTTTGAGTACATTAGATTAAAAACTAACGTTTTCAGATGCCTAAAGATGTTTAACCACTAATTAATCAGAATAATGGGTCAAGATTTCAATTCTTGGTTTTGGGACACGTTAGTTGCCGGGGTTGAGCTAATGTCGATAGCATAAGGACTGTACCTTGATGCGGGCGTTTTATTTGTTGCCCATCGTAATAATTGAATGGTTGATGGGGCTTCTTCAAGGGTTTGATTTGCCGTAATGTTAATGATATCATGCATGAGAGGCTTTTGTAAGAAGAAAATGCGTTAAAACACTTTTTAGTTATGCTTTTTTTAAATAGGCCTATATTTTACGACAACATAATCGTAATGAACAATAAAATGAATTTAAACAACTTTAGAATACACCTGTTTCGGCTAACATGAATATTATTCTTCAAACTAGTAATGTTAAACGTGTCTTTTTCGCATTTTCGACTTATAAGCATTACAGTAAATTCCGATAACGTCCGTATGCATACAAGCAATGGCGTAGGCAAGGAGGGGTTTAATAGTGATTTAATAATGACGAGCCGACCCGCAGCGTATCATACGCCGCTATTTAGTTGTTTTATTTTCTACTTTTCAGTAATTCATTATTTGTGAATTCGACAGTACCAACGCTGCCACTGAAAATATTTGCTTTAAAACATTAACCCCCCTCCCCCTCCCCCGTGAAAGCAGCCTCCTCTTAGTTATTTCTTAGTTACCTCCTGTAAGTTTAAAATCGAACTAAATTATCTGCCCCTAATAGAAAGACGGCTCTACGATTTGTAAACATTTAGAGTGAACACAGCTCACCAGACAATGTGGGGGTGGGGTATGGGTGGTAGTGATAGTGAGAAAGAGAGGGGACTGCAAGGAGGCGCTTGCAGCTTGTTTTCTAACGGCTCCCAGAAGAGAATTATATATATATATATATATAGATACTTTCTTAACCCTTTACTGGACATCATGTTTGGTACCTTGCCCCCGGCAACTGGGTGGATTTGGATTACACCCAAGTTTTACTTTATAGTAAATGGCTTCAGTTTTAATTATTGGAGTTGGTTGCAACATTGACACAGTTGAAGGTATTCAGAACAAGGTGGCCAGGAGAAATCACATTAATTAGTATAAAATTTACCATTACTAACAATAGGCCCTACTTAATTGTTTAATGTTGCTGGATATTAAGCCTAGTAGGTATTTATGTTTATTAATTTGTACAGAAACAAAAAAAAGGATTCCCAAACAAAGTTTTATTTTTCAGAAATAACGAAAATGATACAAATCAATAAAGAACAGTTTTCAAAAGAATTTGTATATAGATCTAAGTAATTATTATAAAATAGGAATATAGTATTGCATAGATAAAAATAAAATACTTGACACAAACAATATGAGGAATATTTTTCATCAGAGAAGAGAAAAATATATGATGTAGTTTGAAAATAGTAATCTACAGAATGTAGCTTTTGCAGATTAAAATGAAAATTCTCATGCCTATGTAATTTATTGAGTAAATGAAGCAAGGCCCAAAACACTAGGCTAAATAATATGCATGGGACAGGCATTGAAAACTACAAATTGCATATAGTGAAGGTTACCCTACTTTTATTGGCTATATCCACCACAGTAAAGTTTTATGGCTTTCTTACCTGCTTGTAAAATTGTTAAGGAAAAAGTGAAGTATTGTTAACTTTTTATGGCAGGCCAACTACTGGCTGTGTTCTGGGAACATGTCATCTGTAAGGGGCATTGTTCTCGGCACATGTTGTCATTTTGTGTGTTCTCGGCACATGTTGCCATTTTGTGTGTTCTGGGAACATGTTGCCATTTTGTGAGTTCATGGAACATGTTGACATTATTTGGCTGTGTTCTGGGAACATGTTGCCATTTTGTGTGTTCTGGGAACATGTTGTCATTTTGTGTGTTCTGGGAACATGTTGAAATTATGTGGCTGTGTTCTGGGAACATGTTGCCATTATGTGGCTGTGTTCTGGGAACATGTTGACATTATGTGGCTGTGTTCTGGGAACATGTTGACATTATGTGGCTGTGTTCTGGGAACATGTTTGTTTCATTTTTAAATATTATAATAAAACATTCTGAGAAATTCTTTATTAGGAATTGTGTATATATATATATAAATTTATATATTTAATAAGACAATTGGATGAATTATAATAAACAGCAAAAATGATTCAAATAAGTTTAGAAGTATTTGGCTTGCTGTCCTAACAGTGAACTGTATTCCGAGCTTGTTTCCCTAGTGATAATTCATGTTTTTTGTGCCACCCTTCCAATCAAGTATTCAGCTTTTTCTTGGCCTGTATCAAAATGCTGGTCATAGACTTGCTTGACTTGTGTATCACAATATGATTTTGAATGTTTTTCTGTAAATGAAATAAAGGCAAAATATTTTGATACTTTCTTTTGTGGAACTTGCAAGAGAAATAAATTACAAATTTATATTACTATCTCTAATATTTCTTTACTATGACTAATTACTTTGAAAAGATAAAGCACTGAACATGATGAATAACAAGAAACAAACATTATCAGAAAAGATTATAGATTTAAAATTGTGTTCATTCATATTGAAGATTAATGAAGTAGACTATCAATATTTACCCTCTTGATGGCTGATACTTTGATTTGATGTCTTTACTTTAAGCTTACACATCAGTCTCTGTGTGGTAAAATATGAAATAATATGCTTCAATAAAACTGTTTCAATATATTAATTACATTAGATAAGTACATAGTTTTGAGCTCTGTAACAATATGTGTTTCAATTATCATTCAAATATAATACCCTCTATGTTGTACAACTCACTGATTTATTAGAATTTAAGAAAAGACAATAATTAATACAATATTTTGGATTAAAATCCATTAGATTTATTATAACATATAATGCTATCTCTTGCTATAATAATTACTTTAAAAAATGGGTTATGCCTATAGTACAGTTACCTGAGGATGAAACTAGGCACAGTGATTAGGCACAGTGAGACTGATTAATATCCCTTGTAATTGAACATCAGTTGTAGTTATGAAATCTGGATGGCCAAACACACACTCATAGTCCTGAAAAGCAATTTACACATAGATTAGCAAGAATATCTCACTAATTATTAAATTAAAGCTAACCCCTATTTAGTGCAATCCATCAAAGTAGTTGCATTTTTTGTTAAGCTGTAGACACAATACAAAGTAATGTTTATTCTGTGATTTACATACTTTTATAAAATAGCAATCAAATTACATACATACATATATATATATATATATATATATATATATATATATATATATATATATATATATATATTCAGTGTAAATTTGTAAATTTTAGTTATGTCTTGTTATTAAATTTATTTACTCGACTGATCTAAACTCACTTTATTTAAACATAATATTGTGGATAAGTATAGTGATTTTATTATTCAGCAATAAAAAGCAGGCCTAAAAAATTTTAAATAGTAACGTTTGCGAATGAACACATTAAATTCTATGTATTTCAATTTCTATGTCTTTCCCAACTTGATGCATGTTACTAACCAAGCACTAAACTATAGTCCTAAATAATCTTGACTCTAATTACTATTTATCGGACAACCTGAATCTTTGCGATACCATGTTATAATATATTATTTTAAAAACAGCTTACCACTAATTACTAAAATCAATTGTTTTTAGTATTAACTGAGCCGCATACTATCTGCTGCTATTGTCATCACCAGAAATCCAGTATGCTGGCAAGGTTTAGTCTCTAAGTTCCCTACAACCTCTTTCCTCTCAAGTGCGGAAAACACTGAAATCATTAATCATTATTTCATTATGCCTAATAGTTTAAAGGTAGTATTAAAGTAGTACTAAATAGTACGAGTCTTAGTTACTGTAACTATGGGTCTAATGAATATTATTATTGTGTATGCTTACATGCTTTAAGTTTTATGCACAATATTGGTATATAATATATAGTCTGTAGTCTATATAGCCTAAACTATAGAGTATATATAGGCCTATAAGCCTAAATATAACAGCAGTTTGAATAATGCTCATTAGCATGCATTCACTATAAACTATAAAGATAAACAAATATTTCAATTCAATTTAATTCTAACTAATAATAGTAAATAGTAAATAGGCCTTTTTCTTGTGGTAACAAATTTAAAGTATAGGGCAGTATACTTAGTTGTAGTATAGGCATAGTAGATTCTATATTTAAGTATGTGGGCTTTTCATTCCAATGCACCACAATGGATACTACACATGATCAAGCTTGACCTCTGATCTAAAGATTTAATAATTGGGACTAACAAACAGTGAAAGTACAATAAAAATCATGTAAATTACTAATTTAACCTTCTTACCTCCGCTTCTGCAGATTCCTATTCTATTTCCTTCAAACTTTCTTTTTGTGCAGCCGTATGATTAGATTCTAGACTATATTCTAAACTAATCAGAACACTAGATCTAAATTTCTAGATTCTATGCAGTATGTATTAAACCTAAAGGCCTAATATTTATTTTAAATTCCTATGCGATGTGTCGTGAACTGTAGGTTTCATGTTATTTTTTAATGGCGGAAATCAGTTTAAAATTACGTTTCCTTCCCTTTGTCATTCTATTTATAGATTCTATTTATAGAGTCGGAGTAAAGAAAAGATAGGGTTATTATCATTGAATTAGTCGTCTGATACACACAGGAAGTGACCGTATATCTATTAGTTACTCAGTGATCCGATCATTGACAGATACAGAGATAGCCATTCGCATGGGGTGGAGAGAGAGACAAAGAGAGAGAGAGAGAGAGATAGAGAGAGAGAGAGCGAGAGAGCATCTAATTGCTTATCTGTTAGAAGAGAATTTATTTTTGTTACGAAATCCAGTCTGTGCTAGATAATACTAAGCTAGAAAGTTGGTAATAAAATGGCGTAAAGAAATAAAATCCTACAATACTCCTAAAGGGATTAGGCTACTAGAAAAAAAGTTTTGCAGTTGGTTTCAACACCCCCCCCCCGGGAAAAAGTGTTCATATAATACATCTTGGTGTTGCATTGTTTTCTCTATGGTTTGCATATGTGCGTCATACTGTCACCCCCCCCCCTCTCCCACACACAAACTTGTCTAGATCGTCATCATGTACTTAAAATACATTTTAACTCTAATTAACCATTCATTGAACTGGCAACAAAAACTATTTATTCTATATATCTTGCAACTTTTTTTTTCTTGGTGTCACCCCACCCCCCAAAATGGTGTCACCTCTAAATGAAGTCACCCCCCCCCCACCGCCCCCACCTCGCGACGCCTCTGCCTCAAGGATTTATCTGAGAATATGGTCGCCATGATATGCTAAATCAATGCCGTTATGTGCTTCTAATAAAACATCAATACCTATTCATGGTCTACCTTTCTTTGTTGCTTGCTTGTGTGTAGTTTAGAAAAAGCCCCCCCCCCCCACCACAACGCAATTTCTTTTCTATTGACAGCTTATCGGGATAAAAATTGATTGCTGGGCTCAATGTGGGATAAATCTGGGTACTGAAACCAGTGTTATACACTATTGCTGCCACCATTTCGCTCTGTGAACCTTGAATATCATTTGGCGGATGGTGAAATTTTACCTCGAGACATTCCATCACAAGATAATTTTCACCATTTGGCGGATGGTGAAATTTTACCTCGAGACATTCCATCACAAGATAATTTTCACCATTTGGCGGATGGTGAAATTTTACCTCGAGACATTCCATCACAAGATAATCTTCACCATTTGGCGGGTGGTGAAATATTACCTCGAGACATTCCATCACAAAATAATCTTCACCATTTGGCGGGTGGTGAAATTTTACCTCGAGACATTCCATCACAAGATAAACCAAAAGATGTTGGCATTTTACCCGGGGACATTCCATCACAGCAGAGGCGTAGCAGAGGCGTAGTGACCCTTCCCGGCGCCCGGGGACAACTTTCGATTTGCACCCCCCCCTCGAACTTTCGATTTGCACCCCCCCCCTCCTCAAACTTTCGATTTGCACCCCCCCCCCCACAAACTTTCGATTTGCACCCCCTCAAGCTTTCAATTTGTTTTTCAAACCCATTTTGGCGCCCCCCCCCCTAAGGTCGGCGCCCGGGGACATATGTCCCCCCTCCTCGCCACGCCTCTGAGTCGTAGCGTAGTGACACATCTTTTTCAGACGCCTGTGGCGAACTATTAATTCCCCCCCCCTACCCGTACACACAAATTATATATATATATATATATATATATATATATATATATATATATATATATATATATATATATATATATATATATATAAATCTGTCTCGCCCCCCTTCCCAACACCAATTTGTCAAGATAGAGGTCGCGTCTTATTAGTCGCTATCCGATAACAATCTTAACTTTGGTATCATAGAAGTGATGTAGAAAACATTGAATCAGTCTGTAAAGCCAAGTGTATAATTCACTAAAGTATCTCAGAATAAGGATTTTTAAAAAAAAAATCTTGTTGTACCCCGTTTGGCGCAGCTCCCCATAGTCGGCGCCTGGGTCAGCCGCCCCATCCGCCTTCCCATAGCTACGCCTCTGTATCACAGGCTAAATCACAAGATGTTACATAGCAATCATTATCTCATACCAGCCTTATTCAACCGATCAGCCAAGATGCTGCTAACCTTGAGATTTACCTTCTCGGTTTTCGGAAACAAAAAATGTGCTCAGGAACAGTGTTTGATACACAGAAATTATACTTTTTTTTTACAAGCTTTTATTTAACTTGCTTCCTCTGTCTGTCGAAACGGGCGAGCGAAATTTCGAGCACTTCTAACTGACAGATTCGGGGGTTTCTTCCTAAATATTAGTAAAGGTATCCAAACGAAAATATAATGACACGCTTTTATTTATAGTTATTTAAATAGTAGTGTATTATTATATATTTAAAGAAAATTATTATTATTTTTAGTGCATTATTACATAAAAGCTTGTTATTAAAAGTTCTTTTTTTTTAATTTTGTTTTTCCATTTCATCTGCAAAAAAAAAAAAAAAAAGTTGCTAATTTGTCTGTTTACTCTTGAAGTTTTTATACAAGGGAGACAATACACATTTTATTTACATAGCCAGCTATAAAATTAAATTGAACACAAAATATTAAAGACACAATAAAGTTTACTAAGTTAGAAAAGTTGCATAATTACAGTTTTAAAAACTCAAATAAAAAGTTTTTGTTTTGCACTTGTATTAATATAATCCTTACTGTAAATAAAAAGAAAGAAACTTTGTTTAATTTTCTTAGTACCCAAAATAAAATATTGAAAAAAAATATTTATTCAATGTTTTTTTGGGGTAGGTCGTCATTCGTTTATTATTAATTTTAACTTTTTTTTTGGTACTGTTCACGCAGTACATACAATAAGATTGGAACGATACAGAGAAGATTAGCACGGCCCTCGTGCAGAGATGACAAGCAGAATCGTGAAGCGTTTCCAAATAATTATTTTAACTTTTTGAACAAAATTTTTTGTAAGGAATTAATTAAATATATATCATAATAAGGTATCGACTTGCCTTTAATTGCTAAAATGAGAGAAAATATGCCTGTTCATTGCATAGTAGAAAATACAGGTAGAAATATGTCAAACGATGTAGTTCTTAAATTTTAACAGATGAGATGGTTACAAATGTTAACAGATGAGGCCACAAATGTTAACAGATGAGATGGTCACAAATGTTAACAATTGAGATGGCCACAAATGTTAACAGATGAGAAGGTCACACATGTTAACAGATGAGATGGTCACAAATGTTAACAGATGAGTTGATCACAAATGTTAACAGATGAGACAGTCACAAATGTTAACAGATGAGAAGGTCACACATGTTAACAGATGAGATGGTCACAAATGTTAACAGATGAGATGGTCACAAATGTTAACAGATGAGATGGTCACAAATGTTAACAGTTGAGACTGTCACAAATGTTAACAGATGAGATGGCCACAAATGTTAACAGATGAGATGGTCACAAATGTTAACAGTTGAGACTGTCACAAATGTTAACAGATGAGATGGTCACAAATGTTAACAGATGAGATGGTCACACATGTTAACAGATGAGGTGGCCACAAATGTTAACAGATGAGATGGTCACAAATGTTAACAGATGAGATGGCCACAAATGTTAACAGATGAGATGGCCACAAATGTTAACAGATGAGGTGGCCACAAATGTTAACAGATGAGATGGTCACAAATGTTAACAGATGAGATGGTCACAAATGTTAACAGATGAGATGGTCACAAATGTTAAAAGATGAGATGCTCACAAATGTTAACAGATAAGATGGTCACAAATGTTAACAGATGAGATGCTCACAAATGTTAACAGATAAGATGGTCACAAATGTTAACAGATGAGATGGTCACAAATGTTAACAGATGAGACGGTCACAAATGTTAACAGATGAGATGGTCACAAATGTTAACAGATGAGACGGTCACAAATGTTAACAGATGAGATTGTTACAAATGTTAACAGATGAGATGGTCACAAATGTTAACAGTTGAGATGGTCACAAATGTTAACAGATGAGATGGTCACAAATGCTAACAGATGAGTTGGTCACAAATGTTAACAGATGAGACAGTCAAAAATGTTAACAGATGAGACGGTCACAAATGTTAACAGATGAGATGGTCACAAATGTTAACAGATGAGATGGTCACAAATGTTAACAGTTGAGACTGTCACAAATGTTAACAGATGAGATGGTCACAAATGTTAACAGATGAGATGGTCACAAATGTTAACAGATGAGATGGCCACAAATGTTAACAGATGAGATGGTCACAAATGTTAACAGATGAGACGGTCACAAATGTTAACAGATGAGGTCACAAATGTTAACAGATGAGATGATCACAAATGTTAACAGATGAGATGGTCACGCTTGAGGTTTCTACCGTTGACGTGAACTTAGAGAAGGGAGAGGGGATGGCAATTATACTCATCCCCAGAGTACTTCCACCCCCCCCCCCCCCTCGGAAAAAAATGAAAAAAAGAATATAATTTATATAGACTATATATACTTTAATCATCCACCACACCCACCCACTCGGAAATTATCACTGTGCCCACGACCCCCCCCCCTCTACATGAAAGTTATATCCCCCCCTAGTACCTGAAGAAAAAGGTTTTAAAAAAAACCTGCATGACAAAACAACGTCAACTCACCTACATCGGCCACCAGTGCCCCGTACTGTAAACCTTGTAAAAAACGACAGACTTTAGGCCAAGCCATCTGCTTGATGTGGTTACATTTAGGGGCTATTACCGCATACACCTGCAACATAGAGGCGTACCAAATTTAGGGATAATGGCAGTATGTCCTTTTACTAAGATGTATCAAATTTAGTAAAAGTGTATCCAATTTAGGACTAATGAAAATATCCATCTGACCTATGAAGGTGTATTGTGCTTAAAAATGAAACACAGTCCATGACTATGTAAAAAATACTAAAAATGACGTTTTTGCTTAATATTTTGGATAACTGGTAGCCTCATTGTGAAAGAGAGAGGGGGGGGGGGGGCACTTGATATTTTCGGGGGGGGGGGGGGGGGCGGTAAACATTTTTCGGGCGCAATCGGGGGGGGGGGGGGCGGACACTAGTAAAAGTGTATGTTTATTATATAAATTCCATCTCGTTCGGGGGGGGGGGGCGGTAGACTTTCCACGAAGAGATGCCTGGAAGAAACTCTGTATCGAAGAGATACAATGAAAGTGGGCTGTCCCTAAAAGGCAGATGCCTGAAAGAAACACTGCTGAAGTTTCGATACACCAACCCCCACTCTAACTACAACAATTTCTGCGATGCACCCCACGTAGCCTACACATTAACCTCTCCAGTAAACACGACGTCATTGTTATTTACTCCATGCACTATGTTTATTTTTAGACGCTGATGTTAATCTCAGAGCACGTTTTCCCCCACCCCCCACACACGTGGGTTTAGACTTCCGGGAGTGTGGCAGCAATCGACAAAGCTATCAATCGTTTAGTATTGCTTTTAAAATTAAAAACTCGAAGAAAAAAATACGGAATAATGTTTTTTCCCGTTATATTTTAATCTATTGCTTAAGAAAAAAAATGATTATAGTTGTAGGTATAATTACTTTCAAAGCTAGTTTAATATAGTAGTTACAGTCAGTGGCGTCATAATGCGGGGGCAGGAGGTGCGGTCCGCACCTTGTGACACCATTTAAGGGGGGAGGGGGGACACCAAGACGATAAATCGTAAAACTTACAGTCGAAAAAAAATGTTTTAACCGGTTAAAATAACAAAATAGTAGGGGGGGGGGGGAGTGACACAAAACAGAAAACGCAAATTTGTGAGAGGGGCTGGGGTGACACGAACACTTACTGAACTGGGTGACACCCTGTTCTAATGACGCCACTGGTTATAATAGCCATATCATATCATATTATAAAAAGTTATATCAAAGCGTAAATTAAGGATAGTACTCTTGTGGAGTTGATAGTTTATTTGGCAACAAAATAAAGTTAAACTTTTTTTCTTTAAAGTCTGCTTATGAAGTGATTGTGTAGTCATCACCATTCTTAGCCTACTTTATGTTCCATGATTAGTTCAAAGTAGACATATTGGCTGGGTGGTCTAATTTGAGCCAGTGAATCGAACTCGTGACTTTTGGATTAACAATCGAGCATTTGACCACACAATTTATTCAATTTTATGTTTTAACTTAAAATTTATCAAATCAACTTTTTTTTTTCAATAGTGTATGTCTTATATGTGTATAGGGGAGGAGTGGGTGAAAAGTCACAGGGGCGAAAAGTCAAAGCAAGTTTTTCTTGTCTCCAGATCCTAAAAAGTGAAATTTGTGACTTTTCACCCCCTCCTCTCATATATCTAATTGTTTTGTACGCCTTCTTTAACCAGGTAACAGAACTGGAGGACTTCAGGTTAGTAATCGTGTACATTACGGTAGGTCAAGTTAAATAAAAGAGTTAGGCCCCGTAGTAGATCAGTGTTTCTTCCAATTTTTTTTCTCGGGGGGGGGGGGGGGGCACTTGATATTTTCGGGGAAGGGGGCGGTCAACTTTTTCCGGGGGGGGGGGGGGCGGGTGGACACTAGTAAAAGTATATGTTTACTATATTCCATCTCGTTCGCCCCCCCCCCCCTCGATGAGATGCCTGGAAGAAACTCTGTAGATGATGCGTATAATTAGACTCGGTTAGCAATCTTGTACTTTCATCATCAACTGTACCTGTTTGTGTCCAAGACACATGGGACAGATGATTTAGAACTCATCGATTTCAACACAGAGGAATAGTGTGTTCGAATTCTATAAATAGAGTTAATCCCCTACCTGATGCACGTGTTTAGACTCGAGCGTCTGGTTATCCACTCCGCTGGTCGTCTGCTGACATGCGCATGGTGTTGTTGGGTTGTTGGAGAATTCGCTCGAGTCTGAAGTGGTGTCGGCTGCAGGGGAGTCACGTCTGGTACTGACATCCAAGGCAAGCATCTTCTTAAAGCATCGGTTAAGGCTGGGTGCTATCACTGAGCTACAAGTCTATGGTGTTGGAGTAAACTATAGAGACAGCCCAACATAAAGTAATTCATTTTCTTTAACACTATAGATTATTTTACAATCGCTAAAAAGAGATAATTTATAAAGCCCATCTAGATTCTATATACGAGTGCTTTCTATCCGTATTTATAACGACACAATAGTATTGAATAGGTTTTTTAAAACCGCCAATCATCACGAAATATATAGAAAATTGCCCCTCCAGGTGGAGCGACCCCCTTAATTATCACCCCCTTGTTACGCCAAAATAGTGTTACATTGTGCACATATATTTCTTTTTTAAATATTTCAATTCTTATGAGCGTGTTGCTGTTCTAAGCGATTGAAAATTTTTGATTTGAGTATCTTTGTCTTTTTTTATACAGGGCTGAACCAATTTGTGTTTTAACAACTTCATTAAGCGCGCTCATTTAATTTACCAAAATAAATAAATAAATAGATAATTAAAATGACCTTCATAAATAAGTTCACAACACTTTTATGAAAATAAAACTGAACTTACTTAAGTATAAAGTTATATATTATCACTTTGTTTACACTGCTTTTAAAACTCTACGAACACGAGAAAGGCGGGTTATAAACTAAAACGTACTCACTGTCAAAGCGTCATCCTGCTCGCGAAACGCAACACGCACTGTGTGTACTCTAACACCACGTATCAATAAAATAACAAACGCGTGCTTGAGTTTTTTTTCTTCTTTGTTTGCTAAGCCTACTAAATTAATAATATAAAAAAATAGGCTCAGAAAGCTACACACCTACACAGTGTTACAAGTTACACACTTATTTTTTTTTACTTATCCTCTGGTGTGTACTTGCCTCTAACACACCACGCCGTGACACGTGTGCTATCTACCGGTGTGTTGGCGCGGGTCCGGGTTTTAAACTAGACAATAAAACAAAGAGAAATATGGTGCAAGCGATCGATACACGCCAGTCGTTAGGCGATATTAACATAATTCTATCCTCGCCGGGCCCAACAGCCCTGCCGGCTACAGCGGTGGTATCTGGGTGGTTTCTATTTCTCCAATAAAAGTGGTAATCCGATTCTCCAATAAATGTGGTAATCTGATTCATGGTTCTACCCGGAAAATAAGTCGAAAGTTCCTTGCGGAAAAAACCCTGAAATAAAATGAAATAAAAAAAACATTCATGCATTGGAATATGTTTTAAATACAATTTATTTAAAAAAAAACTAAGCGAAGTTCCCCTTTCAAACTTATCCATGGGGTTAAGTGAAGTAGAGTTCACCTCTTTCAGTGACCTCAGCACATGAAGGGATAGTGAGGTCAGCACTTTTCCCAGCCGCCTTTACTTTCCGTAACACGAGTTAGGTACCCATCAGAGCTGGGTGAACTCAGGGTCGTTCTACTGACTTGAAAGACGCCCCATAGAATTGATTTATGGATGACGAAATGATGTTTTGACGTTTAACAGGATGGAAAAATCAGCCTGTAAACGATTGGTAAGACTGAATTGATAAGTAAAAGTAGATATATAACTCAAGCTACAAATTATAACATTTCACAATGATGAAGCGCGTCTTTCAGGCTTTTTTCTTCGAGGGGAAAGGGGGGGGGGGCGGACACTGGTAAAAGTATACATTTTCTATTTAAATTCTATTTTGTTCGAGGGAGTGGGAGGGCAAACACACCAGGATCGAACAGTTTGGCTAAGCTGGTTTTCCGCGCCATAGAGCGTAAAGAATTTCTTCAAGATCTATCGCCGAGAACAAAAAAAAAATTGTTTTGATTCGCTGTATTCGACTTAAGACTTAACGCAGTCTGTTGGTCAATGTCAGATTTAAGTTCAAAACTAAACGTGAGTGCTCATAGTTTACTGAAATAAAAGGTTACATACAAGTGAAAAGAAAAATCACACCAAACGTAACAAATGCCACCATTTTTTTTTTCTTACGACATTAGTTTATGTTTATTTTGCTTCCAAATTTCAACAAAAAAAAAAAAAAAACAACAAAAAAACAAAAAAAACAAAAAAAAAAAAAAAAAAACAACAAACAAACAACAACAACCGACGACTATGTCGATAACATGGGATAGACTCAGCGAGTCTAAATCCGGCTCTGCTGTGGATTATACTGTAGAACATTGAGGTCATCCCGTCGGTCTGAATGTTATACAGTGTTTATTTTATGCACCATTGCGCCCCCCCCCCCCCGAAAATTTAGTCCGAATCTTAGTCGCCCCCCCCCCCCTTCCCCATGAGATAATGTCTGAAAGAAACACTGCTGTTATATTGTTTAGCATTCAGTAGGAAAACTTTAAAACGTAAGGTTACAAGTTTTTTATTTAGTTGGTCTACTCGTCTTGTTTTGTTTTCATTTCTAAGATTTCCTGTTTATTTTTTCAAAGTCGTAAATATACACCAAGAAGATAGTATTTGTCTTATGTTGGAATATCTAAGCGTGGTTAGTCGATGACAAGATCTCCGCCGCCCAGTGTTTCCTCCAGACTTTTTTCTCCGGAGGGGGGGGGGGGGGGGCACTTTATATATTCCGGGGGGGGGGGAGATTAAATTTTCCGGGGTGGTGGGGGCCAGTAGACTTTCTTCGGGGGGGGGGGGGGACGTCGACCCACACAGATGCCTGGAAGAAACTCTGCCGCCGCCTATGAGCCCCATATGTTTAATTCAAGCCCGCATCAACCCAACAATGTCGTCACTTAAAAACATTTTCAAAAAAAATATTTTAATGAAGGTGATTCATCTATTTAAATTAGAAGGCGAAAACAAAACAACGGTGGCCACATGCATTTTAATTAGCCAGACACGTGCTCATTACGATTTTTATTATTCAACTGCTAAATATAGCCTTACACTGTCACATGTGGCTCATCATGCATGCCATTACTGATGAGAGGCTAATGTAGTTAGTGATGGTAGGCTAATGATGGTCGGCTAATGACGTTAGGCTAATTAAGGTAGATTAGTAATGGTAGTCTGCTGAGGGTTATCTAACGTTGCTAGGTTATGGTAGTAGGTTAGTAATAATCAATGTTTTTTTTCCAGAATTTTTTTTTCCTCGGGGGGGGGGGGGGGGGGGGGGGCTTGAAATTTTCGGGGAGGTGGACTTAATTTTCCCGGGGGGGGGGGCAGACACTCCTTTAAAAGTATATATTTTCTATATAAATTCCATTTCGTTCGGGGGTGGGGGTGGAGTGGAGTGGGTGGGGAGCGGTAGACTTTCTTCGGTGGGGGGCACCATCCGAAGAGGTACCTGGAAGAAACACTGGTAATAAAAGTCGGATAATCTTGTTAGGCTAGTTATGGTATTTTTATGATTTTAGGTTAATGATGTTATGCAGATGGTGGTCAGTTAATGATGGTAGACTTAGCAAGTTCATTTTAGTATCCAAACTATATTAAACTAATCGTTATTAATTTATGATAGTTTAACATGAAGAATCAAAATAATGTTACACATTTTAAAAAATCGTTATGATTTTGTTTAAATAAAAAGAAGTTATAAAATAATGGCGTATTTTAAGCTGCATTACAATTCTTTAATAACATAAATGGCAAGTTAAGTAACGTAGACAGGCATAACTGTTAATTAGGTTTGTTAGGAATTATTATTTAAAATATGAGTTTTATATATACACATGAAAGACATGCTACGCGTATTTTTCTTTAAAACCTGAAGTTATTTAGAATCTGAGCCGGAAAAACAAAAACAAAAACAACAGACATTTAAAATGTATTTTGAGATTTAATTTTTGACTTTTCATCACTTAAGCCTAGCCTGAAGTGAATACTGAAACTCTTCTTTCTTGCTACCACTCGGGTTGTTGATTTGTCGTTAATTGCAGTCACATTTTCAGCGACTGGTATCGATTTCTTGTACATCCGTATCCAAGCCCAGCGTTGATGGAATGATAAATCAACCACGTTCTTCTAGGACGTCAGCCGTGTTTGTTTTTATGGTCAAGATATAAGGGAAGTAATAAATATGGTTATGACACAAGGGAGGTAATAAATGTGGTTACAGCCTGAGGGAAATAGAATAAATCAGTATAAAGAAATTAGAAAGGTCACTTTAAAAAGGGTATTAATCCGCGAGGTCATATTTATAGCGGCAAGAAAAAGTTGGATGCAAAGGTTCGAGTTGACAAGTGATTATAAATATGATTATTTCTGTCAGCGAAATAGCGTGGTTGATGGCCGCCATTTTGATGTTGAGTCATGAGCCTGTGTAATATATAGGCTCTAATAATGAGCCATAGGAAATACCACATCATATAAATAGCATTGAATAGCTTCTGGATGTACACTAATACCATCTACAAATTTCTGGAAGTGGTAAATGTAGCCTATACAAATAAATGCTTTATATTATTAAATAAATAAACATCAGCACAAGGAGTACCTTACTGCCGTTTAACCTCAATACCACTTGATAACAGAGAAATAAGAAACTATTTATGAGTGCCCACCAAAGAATAGCTAATACGCCGGGAGCCAATAGCTCTAGAGCCTATAGGCCCATATCTAGTCTCTTTTTGTCGGCAGCCTATATGTTGGGAGCCCTTTTACCAGGAGCCTTATGATCGCAGGTCTTTTTGTCGGTCGGGAGTCCTTTTGTCGGGTGCATAGGAAGGGGGGGGGGGGGTATAATGCTTTTATTAAGCCTATATAACATCATAAGGCAACATAACGCTAAATGGGTTAGGGTTAGTACAAAATTTGCCCAGTTTTGCGTTTACTTCTGTTCATGTTAATAGGGAACTATGATCAGCTCATATTAACAGTACGATAAGTTCTGTAGCTTTAAAAACCGAAATAAGAAGTGCAATTATTTTTTATTTGGTCTATATGTTGATCGTCGACTATAACTATTTTTAAAATAGGGGCCTATTTTCTTTGAACGATAGGGGGTACGGACAAGATAGTTTGATACATCTAGCAAATTGGTTGGGAAAGGGGGGGGGGTGCTAAACTAAATGAAAGTTGAATTTTTTTGGAGTGGATAAATTCTTTCTAATGTGTGGAGTAGCGTAGCGAGGGGGCGGGGCGGGGGGGACATATGTCCCCGGGCGCCGACCTTAGGGGGCGCCAAAATGGGTTGGAAAAATAAATTGAAAGGTTGAGGGGGTTGCAAATCGAAAGTTTGAGGGGGGTGCAAATCGAAAAGTTTGTCCCCGGGCGCCGGGAAGGGTCGCTACGCCTCTGAATGTGTGATTATGATGATTGTGATTATGATGACCAAAACTGTGTGGGGGGTGGTCTAAAAAAGTACGTCATTGATGAACGACATTGTAGCGACACAGTTTTAAGACTGGATTCGTTGAGTAAGAAATAAACCATTCGTTTTACAATGTTTAGGCGTTCGTAATAAAAGCATTGCATTTCGGCAAATCAGAACTTAATGTTTCGCACATTTGGTTTCGGCAGTTCGGGTAAGTCAATGTTTTGATAATGGATTTCCGGTTTTGTTACACGTATGTCATATTGGCAGAAAAAGATAAGTTACAACGTGCGGTAAATAAATAGCATGAGTCAGGAGTGGTTATAATAACATTAACATAAATTAAGAGTGATACACTAATAAGGTCAATTTAAAATAAACAAAATGAAAGCATACATTTCTTTTGTTAAATAAAAATAGCTAAGCACAATAACTTACTACGTCAGAGTAGGATTTTCCCAAAGCATGTCTTTAAAAAGAAACCTATTAAATTTAAAATTAGTCTACTCAAATTTTAAATCCCAAATTTGAATTATTTTGAATGTATCATTATATGCTTAGTGTTGATTATAAAAGATAAAAATATTACAGTAAAATACTATGTTAAAAAAACTGTATAAAAATAAAACATTTATTTAATAATTTTATCTGGTCAATGTTAGACTAAATAATGGCTGTGTGTACATTTTCGAAGACAGGACACATCCCATATATTTTTTCTCAGGCTTTCGTAAGTAACATGACTACTGATATACAAATTAAAGCTCTAAATTCTAAAGCTTTAAGTGGAGTCTAAAAAGCTTTTACTTTATGTTTAAATTGAATTTACTGCATATATTTGTCATTAGATAAGCTTGAATTTATTTGGTGTGTTATGTAATCAAATTTCATTAATTTGTAAAACAGCTGATTCATGATTGGCAGACCGAGAATCTGACTGAGATTGAAAATATAATCCATATTTAGATCTCGTATTTAGAACTATTTCATGTTCAGTTATTTTCAAAATTATAATTAATATTTTTGAAATTATGATCACTGGGAGCAATCTCTTTTCAGTCTTTTGACTTAGAATAGATCTAGGCTAGATCTAGATTCTAGATTCTAGATCTAGGTCTCTCTATTGGAAGTTTTACCAGATGTTCATAATTCATAACATTCATAATGTCACTTTAATGTGACATAGATCTAGTTAAGTTAAGCAAATAACACGAGTGATTGTTATTGATTGAGTTGTGAATGACTTGGCATATTTTATTCTTTAGGCCCTAAGTATGAAAAGAAATATATACATTTCTGTCTAGGTCAGAGTAGTAGTCCTATTTCTACATTGAGTATTGAACTCTGGTAATAATTTAGGGCATTTTAGGCCTATAGGCCTAGATAGAGTCTTATGTCTTATCCAAAAATAGATAGATCTAGATGTTTTACTATTTTTTTAGTTTTATAGTATTCATCAGATTGTTCTTCTCCTTCCTTTTCTTTTGGCTTTGGCTGCCTGCCAAGACAACACTTCAACAACAAACTCAATATATGACCATATTTAAAACTCAAGCTAAAAGTAACTTAGGTTACTAGCACAGCAGTACTGTAGTATCAAGTTTAGTGTTAATGCAAGGGCTAATTATTAGTATTAGTTTTACGGTTAGGGCTATGGTAGGACTTTATAAGCAAAATTCTACTGAACTGACGTCAGGTTTACAAAACTCTGTGTAATGTAGCATATAGTATACATTTTTTATAAAAATTGTTGCAAACCATTTAAAAATCATTATAAAAGTTTTAATCAGTTTTATGTGTAAAATCTAGCATGATTTGCCAATAATATGTACTATTATTAACTGTGAACACTGAATTGCATTTTCTTCAGTTGCTTTTTATGGAAAGTTTCTTCTTTTGCAACAACTAATTCAATTTCATTATTAATTAGCCTATGTGTTAAGAAATGATAAAAATCTACTTCAATCCATAAGAATGCCTCCTAAACATGTTTCTCCATTCTAGATTAAATGTTAAGTGTAAACAAGCATCACATTGTTAGTAATTGGCTACACCTTTTTTACATTGAAGTTCAAGTTTGAGACCTACACTGACTACACTTTTGACACATCACACACATTGATTGGGCCTACTTTTATATTTCAGAAGTTAAATGCAAATGTTGCATGTATAAAATGCCGCCGCTATGCTAAATTAACTGATGAGCAGAAAGAAAAACTGGCTGAAGGGCCTGGATTGGAAGATTTCATTCAAAATGAAGGACAAGAAAAATATTCTGGTCATGAGAGTATTAAAAGAGTTAAAGGAGAAAGGTATGAACATATATTTTATTTGATATTTCATGTATATATATATATATATATATATTGATGTAGACAACATGTTTTTAGGCCCAAAACAAACTTCAATAATTTGTTTATATAGGGTAAAATGGTGAATACCTTACTTAACCCTTTTACTAAAATAAATATATGCTTGTTTGTTAACAGGTAAATCCTTAAATCCACAGATTGCGTTTGCCAGATTGGTTGAAAACAGAAATACCCATTGGAAAGAATTATGTTGCATTGAAAAAGTCCCTGAAAAAACTGAATCTCCATACTGTAAGTATTACAAATTAATCATAAACTCTGAAATTAGTTATTTTGTGTAACGGATAGCTAGCCTTAACTAGTACCACCACTTTAAAAAGAGAACTTGCTTGATCAAGTTGTTAAACCATTTAAAATTTAAATTCCTTTGAAGTTTTTTGTTTTAAAATTTTGAACTTAAAATTCGGTAATTTGAAATGAAAATAATTACCTTAAAAAAAGATTACATTTACAGCTAATTTTTAGTTTCGACACATTTTCTACAAAAAAAACTGAATCGTTTTCTATATTTTATTACATTGCATTAATGAAGTCCAACAACACACGTTTGTATAGTATCACATCACAAATGCTTTTAAAGATCTCATTTAGACAATTCTGTACCCAAATAAAATGTATTGTTGCAGGTGTGTGAAGAAGCCAAGTGTCCCAATATAGGTGAATGCTGGGGTGGGGGCGAACATGCAACAGCCACAGCTACAATTATGGTAAAATTTCAAATTGTTACATAGTTTTCCGTGTTGATCTTTAACAGAAACTAATATTGTCAATGATATTAGATAAAACAGTTAAAGTGACTTGCCGAAAACAGTGACATTAATATGTGCTGTATCTCTTTTGACCTGTGGATGGTATGGTCATGTGGTAGAGCTTACGACTGCTAACCCAAAAATCTTGAGTTGGTATCCAGGGCTTTAGGTAGGATAACCCTGCGTTCACTCTGATAGGTACCTGACTAATGCTAGGTAAACAAAGGCAGCTAAGCTTAGTGCTACCAACACTATCCCTCATACACTGAAACTCTACTTTGTCAGTCCTTGTGTCTTGAGCATGTGCAAGAAAAGATGATGAATTATTTTGGCAACACATAACCTGGATCTAGATAGTAGCCAGAAACAGTGATTGGTATCAAAGACTTAAAGATTTTAAATGTACAATTTTTTTGTTAAGCTTTTTATTCTATTTAAATTCAATTAAATTATATTCATCTTGAACTAAAATAAACAACTCTATAATTAATACCAATAATATCACAACTCTGACAACTTTAAAAACAAAGCATTTAACAAAACTTCAATGTCTTTTCAAGACTTATATTGCTAAATGAAATTTAGAACCTCAATTCATTCTAAATAGATTAAAGTAAGATTAATGACTCTCTTGTCTACCAATAAGATAGACAGTGACTTCAATAAAGCACTTTTACTGACTGGGCAACTCAGTCCTCGTATACCATATCATGGTTATATTTCAATTTTTTTTTACACTAGATTCTTGGGGATGAATGTACCAGGGGCTGCAGATTTTGTTCAGTCAAGACATCGCGCAGCCCCCCACCACCAGATCCAATGGAACCAGTAAATACAGCCACGGCTATTGCTGAATGGGGTCTAGATTATGTCGTCTTGACCTCAGTTGATAGGGATGGTAAGTACATTTCAAGAGTAAATCACTCTAATGTATTTATATAGCTCTCAGGGTAGTGGAAGCTTATGACAGGTAGGTTCCATGACTGGTGATCTCAGGACATATGATTTTCTCACAATTATCATGTGTAAATTAAATAAAAATAAACCTAGTGGACTAAAATAATAAAAAATACTATAAATAACTTGCCATGAGATATTTTTTCTGAGATCATTTGTCCATGATATCATTTGTCTTGAGATATTTTGTCCTAAGATCCATTGTCCTTGTAAAATTTCCCTGGGATATTTTGCCTGAGATAATTTGTCTTGTCACCGACAATTAATAATTGTTTAACACTTTAGGTAGGCAAGTACTAAATTATAAGTACTAAACTTAAATGAGTGCATTTGTTTTAAATACTTTTTGTTTCTTTAGATCTACCTGATGGTGGTTCCCTGCATTTTGCCAACACAGTGAGGGAAATCAAGTCCAGGTAGTAGTATTTAGTTACTATGATTGACAGGTTACTCTTGACACCTTCTTTTGTCCAGTCATATCACTTGTCTTAGGGAAAAATGGAGGGATTTTTTTATTTGATTAAAGGAATAAAACATCGTGACACTTTCTTTTGTCTAATTATATCACTTGTCTAAGGGAAAAATTTAGTGACTTTTTGATTTGCTTGCAGAAATAAAAACATCCTTGTAGAGTGTTTAACGCCAGACTTCAGGGGAGATAAGGAAGCTGTTGCTGTTGTGGCAGATTCTGGTCTAGATGTGTATGCACATAATGTGGAGACAGTGGAGAGTTTACAATGGTTAGGCTACACCTTGGTGTTGTTTATTTTTTTTACATTAGTCACCGTGATAGTTTATGGTTACTTTGTTTAGTAGTGTTTATGATTGCTTATTGGTTTTTGTTTTTCTTATTAAAATTAGTTTTTAATTGTCATTTATTGCAATTCTTTGTTAGTAATTTAAATTTAAGTATTTGCTTTCATTTATTTATTGTAATGTTTATTAGTGGTCATTGAATTTATTTCCCATGACATATCAGTGTTATTTATAGAGCCAGTTTTTTTTATTAACCTACTGTATTTATTTTGCACATAAGCCATGTGCTACCAGTAAGTTAACCATTCGGGCAGATCAAGTAGAGCTTGTCTGTTTCTATGACCATAGCATATAGCAGGAAAATGTGGTCAATATTATTACCGTCATTCTTTACTTTCCCTAACATGGAGGCCTACCCATTTTAGCCGGGAGGACTATGGACCTTATACGTACTCTAATCTAGATCCTAACCTGTCTTAAGTGCAAGCAGTCATGTCCAAACACATTGTACTATACATGATCATAAAAAAATTTCCCTTGAGGGTCAAGGGCAAGAAACCCAACATATTTGTTTCCCAACATCCTGTAATTTATTACTTCACGACTTGCCAGATTTTTGCTCAAATGGCATTTCCCTAGAAGGGTTTTTGCCTGAATGGATAATTGCATGTCCATGTCTCATGTACTATTTCACACATCAGTGTTCTTGTGAATCAAGCCTTCTCTTGAATTGTTTCATCAGGTTGGTGCGAGATCTACGAGCCAACTACCACCAGTCCTTGTCTGTCTCATGTACTATTTCACACATCAGTGTTCTTGTGAATCAAACTTTCCCTTGAATTGTTTCATCAGGTTGGTGCGAGATCCACGAGCCAACTACCAACAGTCCTTGTCTGTGTTACAGTTTGTCAAGTCTAGAAACCCAAAAATGATCACCAAAACGTCCATCATGCTGGGTTTGGGTGAAACAGACGACCAAGTCTTGAAAACTCTGGAAGGTAAGTTTTAGTTTGAGTCTCACTGTTTCAATATGTTATCAGTTTAAGTTTTATTATATCTCATAAGTAGGTGTTTAATCTCCGGATAAACAGTTATTATATCCTCATAGTTATTATATCCTCACATTTATTATATCCTTGTAATTCTATACCTGCTTGATAAAACATTTCTTTCACAGATCTACGTGAGATTGGTGTAGATTGTTTAACCTTTGGCCAGTACATGCAACCAACCAAAAGACACTTGAAGGTGGGTGTTGTATCGAACATTGTTCCCTTTACATTAATTATATCAGTAAATTTAACATGAATAATATGATATTAATATTTTGCCTTTGATTTTTAATTTTTCATATATTATTGCATTTATTTTTCTGAATATGATGTAATAATTAAAACCTTTTTATGCATGATGAGAAGAAAAAAATAGTTTTAAAGTTAAACAATTAAGTATCATGTATACAATAAACTCAGTATTGAATAACTTTGTCTTGTTACAGGTGAAGGAGTATATCCATCCAGATAAATTTAACTATTGGCAGGAAGTTGGAAACAAGTTAGGTTTTCTCTATACAGCGAGTGGTCCATTGGTCAGGTCTTCTTATAAGGCTGGTGAGTTGTTTCCCTTTAATTAGTCAGGCCTTTTTATGAGGTTGTTTCCCTTACATTGGCCAGGTCAGTTGTTTCACATAGGTCTACATGTGGACATTATGAGGCAAACCATTTTTTTTCCTTTGAAACTAATGACCAGCTTACATATGTTAACAGCTTTGATCTCAGTTTCAGAAAATGTGTTTAGTGCTCTACAAAACACTTGTTATATTTTGTTTTTTCAGGCGAGTTTTTCATGAAGAATTTGTTAAAAGAAAGGAAATCACAAACACAGGAATGATGGGAAATGGCTGCATCTTAGTATTTTTTACTTGGGTTCGATGCTGACTGGACTTAGGTCCCCAACATTTAGCCGCTCCACATAATGGATTCAGGGAATTCTATTTTTAAAAAATGTAGTAAATTATATTGTGTGTGGTTCAATGATATTAATTTATAATATATGTGCACAATAAAAAGAATGGTATCATGCAGAAAATAATGAATTATGGCTTAATGGAATTTTTTTGTTTTTGTTTTTTAATATTTGCGGAAACAGACTGACTTATATTAATAAAGTAATACACAATAATATGTTTGTAACTCATAATTGCCTAGTTTTGTAAAGTATGGCCTTTACACGTCCCCTCTTTCCCCTCATTAAGATATTATGTTAGATGTAGAAAGAAAAAATACAATTTCATTACTTGTTTCTACAAAATTTATTTTGTCATTAGCCTTCTAATTTAAATAATTATTCACTAAAAGTGGCATAAACATGTCTAATTATGAAACGTGATAAATCTGAATAAATAACATATAAACATACACCAGTATGAATGTGACCGTTGAAGCATAGGATGAATAATACTAGTTTGTCATTGGCAAAACTAATTTTTATACACAATTTCTGTACACATGTAAAAAGCAAACGTTTATAAATATGAAATATACACACAGTGCATTTTGGTTGTAAGAAAAAAGGTGCCAAAACTCACATTTTGTAAATCTCATTTAAAATGTTTTAACAAATTAATTAACTATTTGAAAGAAGGTGTCTTTACACAACTTCAGCTCATTCTTACATTTTTTCCAATTTACACTTAATAGAAAACTTAAAATTTCCTTTTTTAAAAGCAAAATTTTTAATAAATTACTCTCATTTCAAATTTGAATAATATAAAGCAATAGTACCTTAAAATTTCTAATTTCTATGTGGAAAAACCTTGGCTTTTTACCAAGAAAATTAACATGATAAAAATATTTCACTTCTTTAGGGGATATACAGGCATATACATACATATATACATATCTCTCTCTATATATATAATGCATATATATATTGTATATATACATATATGTATGTATATGTATATATATCAATATATATATATATATCCATATATGTATGTATATGTATATATATCAATATATATATATATATATATATCAATATATATATATATATGTATATCAATATATATATATCAATATATATATATATATATATATATATATATGTGTATATATATATATATATATATATATATATATATATATATATATATATATATATATATATATATATATACTGTGTGGCTGTGTGTGTATCCTATCAGCTGGACCACCAAAACACAGGGTTAGTTACTAAAGCTACTGCCGCTACTACAATGCATAATTATGATTTGCATGTTACGGCAAATCTATTAAGTCCTTTCACATCTGTTCACAGGTAGTGATATTTATCATCAAACATTTTTAAAAACACAACTTGAACACAAGACACAATCACAGATGCTTCAATCTTCACCCATCTATAATAAATTAACACATAACTTAGTATGTACAGTAAACTGGTTTCATGATATAAGGTAGTTTCAAGATTCCCATATAGTTATCGGTAACCATGGCAACAGCTAATGAAGAAGTCCTGTGTTAGAGTAGGTTGTCTACATCAAACCAGAATGGTTGTGTAGTGTCTCCAGTGTGATCACATGACAATCATGAATCAGCGAGTCCAGTATTTACAGAAGTGATTCCATGATGTCTTAAGGTTATACAAGAGGAATAACTCCAAAATAGTTAACTTTGGGGCAAGATGAATGCAAAGTTCCAGGATTCTGGAGTACTTGTCTACGAGGGACAGGTTTTGTGTGTGTTGTTGTTAGCGAGTTCTGGTTTTTGTACATTGGAATTAGCGATGTGAATCATCAATTTACAACATTATGTTGGATGTTTAATCAATCAATTGATAGTGTTCTGGAAGATCTCTTTTAGAGGATAGTTTCTATCTTTAAGCATTGCTCGGGTTATCAGCAATTATGACTCAATTCCTCATTATAATCTAGTAGCCTAAAACTAATGTCTTACTTACTAAACTACCTTTTAATGCTACTTGCCTATTGTGGCACTTCTGTATAGTTTAATGAACGTGGCAGACTCTAATTATTCTATAATTTAAAAAAAAATATTTGTGTTGCCACCCAAAAGCGATTCTCTGTTGGTTCAGATACATTGATCATTGACGTCACTTCCTTGTTGTTGCTGGCGAGGTCCGTACCGTTGTTGATGTGGGCTAGTTGCATAGATACAACAGTAGAATCCAAGGAGCTCTCTGGTTGGTCAATATCTTGTCCTAGCTAGACCGCTTCACTTGGTACATCGAAAGGAGGTGGGGGTGCTAGATGAAGGGGAGCTGGACTAGAATAGTGGATGGATTATTATGGCTGTATCATTTAGCTGCGATTGCCATCTAATCTACCTCAATAATAGATATAAAATTATGTGATAATCTAATTGGATTAGCAATACATGATAATGGGTAACCCCAGGGGAAGCCCCAAAGGACAGGTTCATCAGCGATGCAGATACTTTGGGTAGACTGGTAGGAAATCGGCGGACGAGTTATTCACTTGTGTAGTAGATGGTTACTATGTCCTTTTAAGCACCGGGAAGAAAATAGTTTGCGAAAAAACAAGCATTACTATCTCGTCTTGTGGCTTTAGTACAAGATAGATCTATATCTTGTTATGACTTCAAAAGAAGTTCATAAACTAGAAAAACCTCAAACATCCCTGATTGTATCACTCCATATATGTGGTAGTGTAAGAATGGAAGTAGGAGGGACGTAAAGCTGAATTGATTGCAGCAATCCTCTTGCGAAGTTTTGCATAAAACAGAAGAGAAAGGGAAATAACGCTGATTGTTGTGTTCATGTCAATAGCCGCCGCTTCTCCTAAAGCATTCAGATAAATGCAGATCATATAATTATTCACACACAGCATATTTTGTTGCTAAAGTTGTTCATATTCAACCTCAGATATTGAAATCGCGACCACATACCTACTCCAATCACGTGACATTGTTTACGTCACATCAGACAGGTCACGTGCCTCGAGTGTAAACATTGGTAGAAAATCTCTAACAAACAGCCATGGCGTAGTGACAAAAACACGCCCTCTGCTTCAAGCAGACGTGAACTAAAATCAGCTGACGATATCCAGGAAAATTAAAGAACTCGCGGAGCACGCTAGGAAAAATATTACGTCATAGGCGTGGGCATTGAAAAGTCTGACCCCACAGTTGTGTAGACCCCAAATTGGGGGATCGGTGTGGTACGAGTCTTTGCTGGGCGGGTGGGACTGGGTTTCTTTGGGTTCTTTCGTCTTTAGATGAGGGTCTGTTTCCGCCTGCGCGGTATCCTCCTGGTTGGGGATGCTGTACCGTACGTTAGTCGAAGTAGACTTGGTAACGTCGCTCTGTGAGCCTTTGAGCTCCTTATCAAGATGGCACCTTTTCTTCCTGCTCCCTGTGGAAAATTAGACATCTCGCAGTTATTTTATAAAAAAGTAGAATCGGACAAATTAAGTGAAAGAAATTTCAAAGAATTTAAACATTTCATAACGTCATTCCATATGGTCACTTTGAAGTTTAAACAACCTGTTGTCAACTACAACGACATTCGAGGAACATTAGCTAGGGATCTCTTGCAGTGCCGGCGCCATGTCAGTTAGCGCCCTAGGCAAAACTTAATAAAACGCCCCCTTTCACACAAATTAATTACTAAAACATATGTAGGCCTACAATACAAGAATCAATTAAATGTGACATACTAATTTATTATCGATTGCATAAACGTTATGTAGACATGAAAAGCTTATTTTACTTGCTTCCTTCGTCTCAATTCCAGTTTGCAAGCGTAATCACATTTTATTGAAATTGTTGCTAAGTGCACGCGCCTACTTTGTAGATTACGACATAGCCCCCTCCCTCCCCCTTAGAAAATGTTAAGTGCCCCCTCCCCCTCAGGAGAAAAAGTCTGGAAAAAAACTACTGAATCAAATAAAAATATTCTTGTAGAGTTGGGCTCCCTGCAGTCCTCCCAAGGTGAGTTCCAAAACGGAACTTACCTGTTTTAAGCTTGACTGTCTTTAGTTATAATTGTAAAATGTCTATATTGTGTGATTATGAAACGATTTTTTTGGTTTATAAAAAATAAAAGGTTATAAATAATATAGATTCTAGCCTAAAATTGTTATATATGAATCCTTTAGGAGAGTGTGAAAATATGAAAAGACAATTAAATAGATGTTTAATTTACGACTTTATGTCTACTAACATTAAGTATTGCAATCTATAACGGCTTCTGGTGTATTTGTTTTTCAACTTGATAATGCTAAAAAAACCTACTAAACTATTTTGTTTAGAACTCCTGTTCTATATAATTTTTACAATGGCAAATAATGACTTAAAGTTGTTTTCATATCTAAGCGGTCAACCTAAGGTGCGGGAATTTGAAATGAATGTAAAGTTAAGCAACGAATTATCTCCCATTTGTAAAATCAAAATACCAAAATTGTATTCAAGGGAAATAACTTTCAGAAGAATAACTAAATTAACCAAGTGTAAATAAGACATGCTTAAAATTCACAAAAAACCGCTCTAAATTTCAGTACGTAATAATTATATTAAAATCTTTTGTATTAGCTATTTTACCTTGTAAAAACAATATATTATACCCATTGAATACTGAACGGTAGGTTTTGTTTGAAAGTCTAAAAGCGATAGCGTTATTACAACATACTTACATTCAATTTCAATGAAAATCTTTAAAAATGCCAACACGGATTATTTCTCTTTTTAATAAAATTTTGGATTCCCTAAATAAAGGGACGACTTTCAAAAGATCAAACACGGGCAACTGTTTTAGATGTTGCTATAATTATTGATTAAATAAAAAAATTATAATTTGAAAAAAACCAAGCTTTCGGTTAGTTATAAATTCCATCCTATTTAATATTGTGTATTAAAACTTTAAGAGTGGTAATATAGATTCCTAAAAAACTAAAGATTTTTCAACTAGAGAACGCCTACCTTTCTTTGTAGTGTGTTCCGTACTGAATTGAAATCATCTAACTTACGATGAACTCGACTACTCGATATACTCTACTACATTCACAACACAACCAAGCTCTACAAACGGTACTCCCAACCAACAACGATTTCACTGGACCTACCACTACAATTTAACAGTTAATATAATTCGATACCTTAATACCACAAGAATCACTACTCCCGAACTCCAGAACTACGATACTTCATAACCTGCATTATCATTTCTCTATTACCAATCAGATTCCACTAGACCTTCAACTACAAAACCAGCCGAATACAAATTATGACACTTTAACATTTCGATACTTTATACTTTATACCTACGAAATCATATCAGAAAACAGCCTTCCGCCGTTACTCCCAAATCTAAACGATTCATCAAAACTTACCAAACAAGTGACAATACTTTGAACACCCCGTCATTACAAAACTCTGTACACCAGGACAGAAATTCTAATTCTAAGTCAGAGAAAAAGAGACTTACAAGCCCTATTAAAATTAAATAACCGTTTGAAATGTTCGAAATTTAAAAAATCGTTTTCTACATCAATTATGTGACACCAAATTAAAAAGGCAAAGTGACTGGTAAAAAGCGCCCCGAACTTTCCAAAATAGGGATGTGGGGGTGCATTTTCACCATCGCGAATAAATATAGGCCTATATAGACCTAATTTTGGGGTGGGGGTGCAAAATTGATAGTTCGTCCTGGGCTCTACCAATAGATCGCTACTCCTTTATAAAAGTTATTTATCATTAGGTACTTTTTGATAATAGCGATGAAACATTTTGCCACCCCCCTTAGGGATGGCGCCCTAGGCGACCACCCAGTTCGCCTTACATGTAGCGCCGGCCTGGATCTCATGCATTTACTTTATTTTTTTCAAACATTTTTTCTCTGAGGGAGTGGCGAGGGGGGTAGGGGGGGGGGGGGTGAACACTGGTTCTTTTCTATATAAATTAGATTTTTCTATTTCGTTCGGGGGTTGGGGGGGGGGAAGGGGGCGGTGAACCCTGATTATCATTGGTGTTGACAGTAATTCAGCTTCAATGCTCAAAACGTTCTTGAGGCGATACCTTTACAATATGTACCTATTTATAATTTAGGAATTGGAAAAAAAAAAAAAAAAAAAAAAAAATCACCAACAAAAAAGATACCCGGAAAATTAATAGTCGTACAGGTTACACGTTAACCTACTGTCCATCCCTACGGTGTACCCTGTAATTATCTAGTGAATGGATGCTTGTGGAATTGTGACCCAACACTCACGGTCATCGAGGTAAAGCTTTGATATGGCTGAAGATTTGGAGCTGAAGTCGACCTCCATGAGAAGTGAGCACTGGGGGGTGGGCATCTGATGCAACATCCTCCAGGGCCAATGGCCGCCCGCCATGTAGCTCGTGATGATCTGTGGGTGAGGCAAGGAACGTGTGACGACACGACAGTATAAGTCTCGTAAAAAATGTAAAACACAGTCTAATATAACAAAATGGTAAGAAATAACCGATTAAAAAAATAACTTACATAAAATTCTTAAAGCAAATAAACCGGGAGTGATCTCCCCTAAACTTTCTCGAATATTTTTATATAAAATAACAGGGGATGGGAACTCGGGCTATAGACATGATTTTTAATCCATTTTAAATACATAAAGTTTTAAAAATAGAATAAAATCTCGTAGACAAAAGAATTGCACACCAAGTGAACGCTAAATAAAAAAGTGCATAATAGTGCGCAATATTATTAGTACTTTAAAAATTTACATTAGTTTTTAAGAAATCGGAAGTAGCGTAAATTACTACTTCCGTCCAACGGAAATGACTCAAAATTTAACAGAAGGTAGAGAATTAGATCTTTTACTTACATGTGAAATTTCGTTTATCTATCTGAAATAGTACTCAAGTTATAGGCTTTTGAAAATTTCAAAGTAGGAAAAGTACCACTTCCGGTTATCGGAAATCGCTCAAAAGTTGATACGGATCTACGATTTTGATAAAATACTTATATAAGAAATTTCATCAACCTAGCTGTAACGGTACTCAAGTTATCGTGTTTACACACACAGACAGACAGACAGACACACAGACAGACACACAGACATACGGACAAGATTGCAAAATTATGTTTTTCCGTATCAGTGAGATGTAAAACGTCGAGATTTGTAAAAATATAGATTTTTTTTTGCACGATTACAATACTTTCTCTATACTTCGTATATACGAGAAAGTAAAAAAGGTACCAAATATAACATAGAAGTTTCTAAAAATAGATACCAAAGCAAATCGAAAACGGATGTTTCCACTTCAAATAGAAAACGGAAGTTATGAAATAGAAAACGGAAGTTACCCAACAGTGATACTGACTTCTCCCGTCTAAACTGCTGGTGATCAAAAGCTGCTGAAGCGGAACCGCCTCGTCATGGATGAACGCCAAACAACGAAACTCTGAAATCCCAAAGCACACATTTTAAAGTCAAACAGAAACTGCTGAAAGTTAAATATTCGGTGGATTTGATTTTGACTCCTCTGATGTATGCTTGTGTAAAAAAGTAACAGCTCCTGACAAGAGTCTAATACACACAATATAAGCCTCACCCAAGGGAAGTAACAACTCCTTACAAGAGTCTAATACACACAATATGATACTCACCCAAGGGAAGTAACAACTCCTTACAAGAGTCTAATACACACAATATGATACTCACCCAAGGGAATTAAGAGCTCCTTACAAGAGTCTAATTAAGTCTAATACACACAATATGAGACCCACCCAAGGGAAATAACAACTCCTTACAAGAGTCTAATACACACAACACGACTCACCCAAGGGAAGCAACAACTCCTTACAAGAGTCTAATACACACAATATGAGACTCACTCAAGGAAAATAACTCCTTACAAGATTCTAATACACACAATATGATACTCACCCAAGGGAAGCAACAACTCCTTACAAGATTCTAATACACACAATATGATACTCACCCAAGGGAAGCAACAACTCCTTACAAGAGTCTAATACACACAATATGATACTCACCCAAGGGAAGTAACAACTCCTTACAAGAGTCTAATACACACACCACGACTTACCCAAGGGAAGCAACAACTCCTTACAAGAGTCTAATACACACAATATGAGACACACCCAAGGGAAGCAACAACTCCTTACAAGAGTCTAATACACAATATGAGACCCACCTAAGGGAAATAACAACTCCTTACAAGAGTCTAATACACACAACACGACTCACCCAAGGGAAGTGACAGCTCCTTACAAGATTCTAATTAAGTCTAATACACACAATATGAGACCCACCCAAGGGAAGCAACAACTCCTTACAAGAGTCTAATACACACATCACGACTTACACAAAGAAAGTAACAACTCCTTACAATAGTCTAATACACAATATGAGACCCACCCAAGGGAAGCAACAACTCCTTACAAGAGTCTAATACACACAACACGACTTACCCAAGGGAAGTAACAACTCCTTACAAGAGTCTAATACACACAATATGATACTCACCCAAGGGAAGCAACAACTCCTTACAAGAGTCTAATACACACAACACGACTTACCCAAGGGAAGTAACAACTCCTTACAAGAGTCTAATACACACAATATGAGACTCACCCAAGGGAAGCAACAGCTCCTTACAAAAGCTAATACACACAACATGACTCACCCAAGGGAAGTAACAACTCCTTACAAGAGTCGGACCTGAATGTGATGGTCCCTACGGTGGAGCAGGTTGTCTCGTCCCAGTCCGAGACGTTCCCGTAGCACTGCCTCTCGTTGATGGTTCCGTTAAAAGGCACCAGGTTATTGAACCCGCAGTACGAAGGCCAGAGGTTTTTCGATACTGTTCAAATCAAAGAAACAGACACGGGGTTAGAGTTAGTACAGTGGCGTAGCGAGGTCGGGTGTCCCCCGGTGCGGCACTTAATGGTGTCACCCCCCAGAGGCGTAGCGAACCTTACCGGGAACAAACTTTCGATTTGCACCCCCCCTTCAAACTTTTGATTTGCTACCCCCCTCAAATTTTTCTCTATATATTTTGCTATTTTTTTGCCTTGGTGTCACCCCCCTAAATGGTGTCACCCGGTGCGGTCCGCACCCCCCGCCCCCCCCCCCCCCCTCGCTACGCCTCTGGGTTAGTATACAGCTAGTTGGGATTAAGGTCGAAGCTGAACACACACGCATGCACAGACTCACTCTCGCGTACATACCCACACACTTGCACGCACGAAAGCAAGCAAGCACGCACTCACGTACTAACGCACTCGCATACATCTTCTATTGTAAAAACCGCTCATTAATACAAGGAAGATAACACAAGTAATATTTGTGTATTTTTAATATTGTGATCTTGTCTTTGAAATTGTATAAAACTACAAAATAAATTGTTATTACTTGCTTTTTTTAATGTTAAAAAAACAAAACAAAAAACAACAACAACAATACACGTAGGAGATCTGCTGTTACTATGGCATGACTGTATGACTATTTTTGTCTCATTTTACTCTACATATCATTCATGCTGCTTATAATATTTATATTCGTCTTTTATCACAAGTTTATTTCAGCTCTAGATATAAGTCAATACCCCCTAAAACCCGCTCCACCGAAAAAGAAAATTGCCCTTTTACTTATATTTTTTTGTTTCTTTTTAAACTGAAATTGTATTTTTTTTTAACAGAACATTAAATCACCATTTAATTACACATTTGCATTATCCATCTTAAATGAATAAAAGTACATGTCAGAAAAAAACAACATAAATCAAAAATCAAATCGAATTTAAGGACTGTTCAAGAGTAAGTCATAAAATTACCATTTGTGAAATTCTTATTAGGGGTCGTCCATAAATGACGTCACACTCGTAAGGGGGGGGGGGGGGGAGGGGGGTTCGTAATTTTGAGACGGTGTGTGATAACGGGGGGGGGGGGGTTCAGATGGTGCGACGTCACACTTTTGCATTATAAAAAAGCAATGTTAGAAAACGAATTTTAGACGTTATTTTGCGTTTTAGAAAACTGTTTTAATAAGTTGTAATAACAACTGATTAAAATACTCTATTTTGACAGAGTTCAGACAAGATTTTGGAAAAATATAGCTTTTTAAAAAAATTCAACTGCAATTTTTTTTTGGGGGGGGGGTTTGTAGGCTGAGGTGTGACGTTATTTTAGGGAGGGGGGGTCTGGCTTTTTGTGAGGACGTGTCACGGAGGGGAGGGGGGAGGTAAAAATCGTCACAAAAAGCGTGACGTCATTTATGGATGACCCCTTGTGTATGAATACGTAAAAGATGGCCCACACATCACCACAGATTTTGACACGTTACTCACAAATTAATTTTTTTTAAAAGTAATAACTTCTAAAGATATTAGATAGATAGTGAAACAATACTCACACATAAAATTGTTAAAGTAATAACTTCGAAACACATCACTCAGATAGTAAAACAGTACTCACAAATACGATTTTTAAAGTAATAACTTCTAAACATATCACTCAGATAGTGAAAGAATACTCACAAATAAGATTTTTAAAGTAATAACTTCTAAACATATCACTCAGATAGTGAAAGAATACTCACAAATAAGATTTTTAAAGTAATAACTTCGAAACATATCAGTTAAAGGGTGAGGATCGTCACGAAAACTGCACAAGTCTTCCATTTTTATTTCCGTTCTCTCACTTGGGCCTACAACATTCGGAATAGATTTTCAAGATTTTATAGCTTCATAAAATGTCATAAGTTTATACAAGGTTGTCATAAGTTTATACAAGGTTGTCATAAGTTTATAGAAGCTGTCATAAGTTTATAGAAGATGTCATAAGTTTTTACAAGATGTCATAAGTTTACATCGGATGTCATACATTTGTACAAGCTGTCGAAAGTTTATACAAGCAGAGTTTCTTTCAGGCATCTTTTTGTTCGGTTTAGGGAGATCTGTCATTATTGGTTAGTGTGAGCTGTCACTATAGGGCTGGTAAGTAGGTCACCAACCAGTTCTACGGCTCAATAAAACCTGCATGAGCCAGAGAACTGATTGGTGACCTACTTATCAGCCCTATAGGTTAGTGTGAGCTGTCACTATAGGTTAGTGTGATCTGTCACTATAGGTTAGTGTGAGCTGTCACTATAGGTTAGTGTGAGCTGGTTAGTGTGGGCTGTCACTATAGGTTAGTGTGATCTGTCACTATAGGTTAGTGTGATCTGTCACTATAGGTTAGTGTGAGCTGGTTAGTGTGGGCTGTCACTATAGGTTAGTGTGAGCTGGTTAGTGTGGGCTGTCACTATAGGTTAGTGTGATCTGTCACTATAGGTTAGTGTGGGCTGTCACTATAGGTTAGTGTGAGCTGTCACTATAGGTTAGTGTGAGCTGTCACTATAGGTTAGTGTGAGCTGTCACTATAGGTTAGTGTGAGCTGTCACTATAGGTTAGTGTGAGCTGTCACTATAGGTTAGTGTGGGCTGTCACTATAGGTTAGTGTGGGCTGTCACTATAGGTTAGTGTGGGCTGTCACTATAGGTTAGTGTGAGCTGTCACTATAGGTTAGTGTGATCTGTCACTATAGGTTAGTGTGATCTGTCACTATAGGTTAGTGTGATCTGTCACTATAGGTTAGTGTGAGCTGTCACTATAGGTTAGTGTCAACTCTCACTATAGGTTAGTGTGAGCTGTCACTATAGGTTAGTGTGAGCTGTCACTATAGGTTAGTGTCAACTCTCACTCTAGGTTAGTGTGGGCTGTCACTAAAGGTGTGAGCTGTCACTATAGGCTAGTGTGAGTTGCCTTTATAGGTTAATGTGATCTGTCACTATAGGTTAGTGTGAGTTGTCACTATAGCCTAGTGTGAGCACTCATTAGCTTCTACTCACCAATCCTGTACTGAAGGATGTTGTTATTTCTACGGTTAAACTCCATGCACGTGTACCTATGTGAGCTGCAATATGTGGAAATAAAATCTTGGTTCAAACATGACGTATGGCACAGTCTAGCTAAGGTAACAATATTTCGTACTAACTCAGTGTTAACCATTTTGGTAATACCGAACCCCACCAGTTTCAGATACGCATTATTAGTAGTTCTTCCGTCCGCACTGACAAAATACAATCGTAAATCTTGATCTCCGCCAAGCCCCCGAGACTGACTCCCCGAACCCCTAGGGTTCGATTATCGAACCCAGTCCTGTTTAATTAACAGACCCTGTGTTATCTAAACCACTATGCACATTATCAATCGTAATGCTGATGTGAGGAAATAGGTGGGTATGGATTATTAAAGCTCTTAACATTATTGTGTCCCACAGTGGCGTAGGCAGGGGGGGTTAGGGTGGCTACAACCCCCCTTGACCCCTTTGTATATATATATATATATATATATATATATATATATATATATATATATATATATATATATATATATATATATATATATATGTAACGAGCGAACAGTTACCCTGCTCGCAACGCCAAATGTGACCTTCCCCGAGTCTATCCTGCCCGACAACGCCAATTGTAACGAGTTGAACCACTCATGCTACACAACATCGACTACAGTAGAAAGACTCGAAGATGCAGGTTCGCTATTGATCCTTTTATTACATGAATCAAGAAATGCTTCAATATAACACAATGAATCAACAGGAATGTTTCACAATAATAGTCTGAATCAACTGACCCCTAACAGTCCTCACTAGGCTTCATATAACTGAATCCACATGTCTATTGTCCTTCTTAACACAATATAACCAACTTGATATGTCACACAGACTGACTGATCTAAAGCGAGCGATGAAGAGGAAGAGAACGAGTTCAGTCGTCCCCTCCTATTTATGCCTTGTATCCGTACTCGTCTCCGTACTTGTATTCCTCCGTAATCGATACTTGTACTCGATGTCTCCGACCACTAGTTGCGTAGTTCTAACATACAGTCCGTGGAATAACATCTGCATCCTATCAATCAAAGTTGACAGGCCGTCTCACTCCTCGTACCGTCTCCCAAAATAGCACGCGTTGGCTTTGAGATTGTTATCAGCCCGACCCAATAAGCCACTTGTTATGTTGCGTCAGACTGCAATACTGCGTCTCGGCTTCTCGTTCGTTATCAGATTTGTACTAGTAGTTAGGCCCACCCTAGCTACATCCACCCCTGCCTTTTTTTGTGTGTTTTCAACCACAAACAACGCCTGGCAGGTGCACTCCTCCAAAGTCAATCGCATAATCGTAAAAAAATTTTATTGTTCCACTCACTGTCCACGACGTCCCATTCGTATACGATTGACAGTTATACCTATTTCACATATCAACTGTGTCTACATCGTCTTCCTGAGACACAAAACAGTTCTAGAATTCACATCCACCTTTTTTCGTTTGGTGCCTTCACCAGTTCACTTTTATGACTTTTTGAACAGTCTGTTTTCATACCAGCGCGACCATGAAAGAATTGATGGTTGCTGACAAAAAATTTCGTCTTCCTTCTGTTCCTCAAACTTCTCCGCGGACCACTTATCTGATGGTCTACTGTCTCTCTGCTTCTGGAAGGAACGGGATCCTCTTTGTTGCCGTTATCCTCCACTTGTGTATCGCGGTTGTTCTGATGATGGTGATATGGTTCCGGGATGGGTATGTGAATTTCCGTTATAGTTTCCGGTTCCCTAATTGTCTTGGATTTCCTTGTGTGTAACTGCTCTTCTTGCCTATTCCAATATTTCTTTAATTGAGCAATGTTCGCCCACCGATCCGGTTTGGCGTGATCGATGGGTCTTATCTTAAAGGGGCCACCTGCTACTTTAGGCATCTCCACGACTTGCCATATCTCCTGTCCCCAGAGATCGTGGATTTTGTTTCTGCCTAACGGGTGGCTACGCAGTAATACCCTGTCATTCAGTTTGAGTGGCGGGTCCTTTGTCTGTACCGGCGGTTCCCTTCGCCGTGCTTCATGTTCTAGTCTTTCCTGTACTACCCTGTACATTTCTCTAATTCTTCTCATATGTTCATTCACATATTCCAGTGCGGTGTATGAGCCAGTCATACTCTCCCTTTTTCCTAGGAACAAATCAAGAGGGAGTCGAGCCTCCCGTCCGAACAGCAACATGTATGGCGTAAAGCCGGTTGTGGCATGGGGTGTGCAGTTGTATAGATATACCAACTCTGGGAGAAAATCAGGCCAACGTTTTTTCTGTTCAGGTTCTAGCGTACGCAGCAAATCATGCATGCTGCGGTTGAACCGTTCACACTGTCCGTTTCCTTTCGGATTAAATGTGGTTGTTCTAGATTTGTTGATCCCGTAGTGGCTGCACAGTTGGTTAATTACTTCTGACTCGAAAGCCCTTCCTTGGTCGGAGTGTAATTGTCTTGGTATGCCATATTTGATGAACCAATGTTCTATTAAGACCTTTGCCACTGTTTTGGCAGTCTGATCTCGCGTGGGCACCGCCACCGTCCATTTGGTGAATACATCAGTCATTACCAACACATGTTCCGTCCCATCCGATGATTGCTCCAACGACGTAAAGTCCATAGCCACAATTTCTAGTGGTTTTGTCGCTAGTAGGTGTCCTGATGGCTGTCTCATTTTGACAACTGGCATTTTCGCATGCTGACACCTCACACAAGCCTCACAATGGCGTTTGACCTCCATTTCCATATTGGGCCAGTAACACCTCCGTCGTAATATTTTGTGCGTCCTGTCCTGACCCTGGTGTCCTGCCCTGTCATGTGCCAACCTTAGCACTTCTTCTCGTAATTGTCCAGGCACCACCACCTGGTGTATTGTCCCATCAATTTGGTCATGAATTCTCCGCATGAGAACACCATCCTCTATACTGAGACGGTCTCACTGACTCAGTATTTTCTTTGTTTCTCGACCAAATTGTTCTCTTTCCCTTCTTCCTGGGAATTTTTGTTCCTGGACGTATTTCAATAGCGGTTGTAAGCCACTATCCGTTCTCTGGGCATCTCTTATCTTTTTGTGATTAAGGCAATTAAAATCACTACTGTCCATATGTTCGGGCTCTGTGGATGTGTGCTCCACCCCGGTCTGCCCGTTTTGCATCATTTGCACCCCGTGAGGGATATCTGCTGACGCTCTGACCTCACATATTCTTGTCAGCGTTTCTTCCTCATCGCCCGGTCTCTCGTAAGGATTCCTTGATAAGGCGTCCGCATTGCCATTGGACCGCCCCGGGCGATGTTTTCTCTCTAGGTCAACGAGTGCCAATTCTGCTGCCCATCGCTGTTCGATGGATCCCAGCCTTGCTGTAATTTGAAGTTCTTTTTCAATATCTGATACTTTTTCTAGTTTGCCAACACTGTTCTGTTGTCTACTATTTTTATTTACTTCTTCCGATAACAGACACTCTAAAGATGAACATTTCTCCTGTGCTTTTAATTTGCATGAACTTTTCCTATCCAGTTTCCTGGTTAGACTTTGAATTCCTTTATTAAGTCTACCAATTTTCTTCTTATCATCATTTTTCTCTACCAACAAATTGTTCACTTGAAACTTTTCAACATTCAAGTTCATTTCACAGTTCATTTTTTCCATTAGTTGTGTTTTGCCTTTCTTTTTCTCCTTACTGTGTTTCTTTGTCATTTTGTTTACTAAGTCATTACCTCGCCGCTCTGTAGCCTTGACCTGCCCTACAGAGAGCGATCGTTTCACCGGACAGTGTTGTGCCATATGTCCGGGTTGTGAGCGGGACACGCAAATTGGTCGACCATCAGCCGTCCACCGGAGCGATGGACCGGCAGGTCGCGGCTGTCCAACCTGTCTCTGTTTTGTCCCGTTTTTGTCCTGATTCTCAGCTGTTGACCTGCTTTCTAACCTCTCCAATCGTTGGTCAACCTTAACCAGGTGGGCCAACAGTTGAGCCATCATGGTCTCCATCGTGTCGGCCCCTGTGGGTGGGGATTGTCTCTGTTCAGGTACAGAGACTTTGTCCACCGAACAGTTCGATTGGTCCTCATCCTCGGACCTGCGGATCGCTGAGTTCCTGACCTGAAGGAAGGTCAACTGCGGGTCTCTGTAGACCTCTTCTTTCAAATATCTCCTTGACATAGGGGTCGCCAGCCCCTCGATGAAATGGTCCCTCAGCAGGCGCGCATCCATGTCGGGTATTTTGCCCTTTACCGCGACAAAGGCCCTGTTCATTCTGTGTGAATACTCCATCACACTCTCCGCCATTCTCTGCTTTATACCTACAAACACCGATAGCAGTTGCGATCCCGACCGTCTCTCCCCAAAGGTCTCCATAATCAGATCCAGCACCTTATCCGGATCTGATTGGATGGTTTTATCGTGGCATTTGACCTCTGCCCTAACCATCTCTCCTATACTTCCCATCAGCAGTCTTAATCTTTCCTCTGGTGACATGTTTCTCGAGGCCCAGGCAGCCCTGACCTCTTCACTGAACCTGTTGGTTAAAGTTGGATTACCGTCCCCGTAAAATTTGTTGATGTGGGACTCACTGGGCAGGACCACAATATGGATCGGCTTTTTGTCCAAATTTTGTCCTGGTCCCTCTGGAGGCAAAGGGTCATCTTCACCGTTGCCTATCTCTGGGCTTTCTTCATCTGGCTCAGATTGTTGGGCCAGCAGGAGTCTCTGTCCCTTTCCGATATCTAAAATACCACTCCCGCGTCTGCCCCTCACACCGAGGAAAAATGTTGCAGCTATGCAGCAGATAGTGTTGCCCAAAAGGGAGATCATGACACATTTCCAGTGTCTAAGGGTTACATCTATCTCTTGGTTGTCATCTTTGCCTAGTATTTGTCCAACAACCCAGTTGGAGATACCAATGACAATTATCTGGATGCTGGTGGTCAGCCCCATAGCTGTCCCCAGGGTAGTTGGTGCTACAACTAGGGGTATACTGAGCCACATGCTTGCAGCAGCAAAAGAGCATGTGACACCAAGCCAGAATGATAATGAAAGGTGTCTCATCTCTGTTCTTTTCAATTTCCTCGATTCTGATTCCAGTTTTCCCTTTTATTTATTTCCTTCAAATAAAAAAAGACATTTCTTACCGTGTGTGTATGAAAAATTTTCCTCGTTCCTCAATTTTCACAGTTCCTGAATGTTCGAATTCACACACACACTAAACACAGTTATGCACAAGGTTGACTATAGGTGCCTCAAACGGCAAGTCTAGTTGAATTCATCCTGTCCGACGACGCCAAATGTAACGAGCGAACAGTTACCCTGCTCGCAACGCCAAATGTGACCTTCCCCGAGTCTATCCTGCCCGACAACGCCAATTGTAACGAGTTGAACCACTCATGCTACACAACATCGACTACAGTAGAAAGACTCGAAGATGCAGGTTCGCTATTGATCCTTTTATTACATGAATCAAGAAATGCTTCAATATAACACAATGAATCAACAGGAATGTTTCACAATAATAGTCTGAATCAACTGACCCCTAACAGTCCTCACTAGGCTTCATATAACTGAATCCACATGTCTATTGTCCTTCTTAACACAATATAACCAACTTGATATGTCACACAGACTGACTGATCTAAAGCGAGCGATGAAGAGGAAGAGAACGAGTTCAGTCGTCCCCTCCTATTTATGCCTTGTATCCGTACTCGTCTCCGTACTTGTATTCCTCCGTAATCGATACTTGTACTCGATGTCTCCGACCACTAGTTGCGTAGTTCTAACATACAGTCCGTGGAATAACATCTGCATCCTATCAATCAAAGTTGACAGGCCGTCTCACTCCTCGTACCGTCTCCCAAAATAGCACGCGTTGGCTTTGAGATTGTTATCAGCCCGACCCAATAAGCCACTTGTTATGTTGCGTCAGACTGCAATACTGCGTCTCGGCTTCTCGTTCGTTATCAGATTTGTACTAGTAGTTAGGCCCACCCTAGCTACATATATATATAGTGCTGGAAAAATTTGAACCCCCCCACCCCATGAGACAATCCTGGCTACGCCACTGGTGTCCTTTATTTTAATATAATACAATGCAATCTAGAATTTGTATGTGAGGGGGGTGTGATACCCAAATAACTAGTTTTAATTCAGGATATGTAACACCGCATCCGTTCTCACGCGACCCAGCGACGTCACAGATGTAACACACAGTTTACGTGTTCAATAATTTTCCATCCGTTCTCAAAGAGGGTGACCATTTTGTATCTCTGCCCCTTCTGGTTTACACATATAATGCACAGTTTACATGTTCAAAAATTTACCATCCGTTCTCAAAGAGGGTGACCATTTTGTATCTCTGCCCCTTCTGATCTACATATAAAATATACAGTTTACGTGTTCAATAATTTACCATCCGTTCCCAAAGAGGGTGACCATTTTGTATCTCTGCCCCTTCTGTTCTAAAAATATACTACACAGTTTACGTGTTAAATAATTTACCATCCGTTCTTAAAGAGGGTGACCATTTTGTATCTCCGCCCCTTCTGATCTACATATATAATATACAGTTTACGTGTTCAATAATTTACCATCCGTTCTCAAAAAGGGTGACCATTTTGTATCTCTGCCCCTCCTGATCTACATATATATACAGTTTACGTGATCAATAATTTACCATCCGTTTTCGAAAAGGGTGACCATTTTGTATCTCTGCCCCTTCTGGTCCATGTCCAGACACTGGAAGGTCCCCAGGTGTGAGAACACGGCCTTTTCCTTGTCAATCATGACGTCAGCGGTGACGGCGGTGTCGTAGAGTTTCCACTCGCCAAAGATGGCCGGCTCCAGCCAACACCTTCTGCCATTGACGTTGGCTGTGGTCGTCGCCGCTGGAAGCAGAGAGGGAGATGGTGGAGAGTTCTAGAAGAATTTGGTATACATCCCGGGGGGGTCATTGATTTACGACATGGTAATTATAAGGCCCTGCATGATGAAGAGGTTCAGTGTTTCTTTCAGACTTTTCTTTACGGGCTGGGGAGTGCTTGATACTTTCGAAGTGGGTGTGTGTATGTGTGTGGAAAGGTACCTTGATTAAAGTATATATTTTCTATTTATATTATATTTCAAAAAAAGAGGGGAGGGGGCATCGGACGTGTTCTGCATCAGATGAAATGGCCGAAAGAAACACTGAAGTGGTTGATTTGGTTAAACAGGCTTGAACTAGTACTGACCAGAGTCAGAGTAAATACAGGCTGTACATTGTACTGACCACAACCTCTTCGTAGTCCGAAGTAAGAAAAAAAACCCAGAGTAAAACTCTACTTCACCTGCCTCCCTGGACAGAAATAGTACTACATTTTTTTAATGAATCACACACAGGATTAACAAAAATTATATTTTTTTTGTGCATTCTCCACATAAACCACGTGAAGATCTCAAGCATGAGCCAGGAGTAATGTTTGTATTGAAAACAACAACAACAGAAAACAGAACATTGGTCACATTAAATTTGTATGAACTGCTTTATAGGCCTATCTGTTTTTTTGAAGACATTGAAGGTACTCACCACACTTGCCACACGTGTAAGGACAATGTGGCGCGTACACCGTGTCCTTGATACACATGTCCGTGGAGGTGATGACCTTTCGACACTCGTCAAGGTCGTCGTCCTTGCACACGCGGGGATCTAAACCAGGACAGAAGCAAATGGGGTCAGAGGTCAGTGTGGTTAGAGTTTAATTAGGTCAGAGGTCAGTGTGATTATAGTTTAATTAGGTCAGAGGTCAGTGTTGTTGGAGTTTAATTAGGTCAGAGGTCAGTGTGGTTAGAGTTTAATTAGGTCAGAGGTCAGTGTGGTTGGCGTTTAATTAGGCCAGAGGTCAGTGTGATTATAGTTTGATTAGGTCAGAGGTCAGTGTGGTAGCAGGTAAGTGTGATACAAGGTATATATGGTTAGTGTGGCAAGTGGTCAGTATGGTTAGAGGATAGTTTTTTTAATGGTCAAAATGGTTAGTGGCAGAGGCGTAGCGACCCCGCCCGGCGCCCGGGGACAAACTTTCGATTTGCACCCCCCTCGAACTTTTCATTTGCACCACCCCCCCCTCAAACTTTCGATTTGAACCCCCCCCCCCCCACGAATTTTTCATTTGCACCCCCCCCCCCCAAAACTTTCGATTTGCACCCCTTCCTCGAACTTTTCATTTGCACCCCCCTCAAACTTTCAATTTGGCGCCCCCCTAAGGTCGGCACCCGGGGACATATGTCCCCCCCCCCCTCGCTACGCCTCTGGTTAGTGGTCAGTATGGTTAGTGGTCAGTTTGGCTAATTGTCAGTATGGCAAGTAGTTAGTATAGCTAGTGGTCACTATGATGAGAAGGCAGTGCCATCATAGGTCAGTATTTTCTAGTCGTCGGTATGCCAAGTGGTCATTATAGAAGGCAGTAGAGATTGGACTAGTTAAAGGACACACTCGCTATACCACACGTTAGCTAAGGGCCAGTGTAATCAGACGCTGCATGTACAGCCCCCTTTAAGTTCAGGTTGGCCGTAATCCAGACTACCCACCAAGCCCGAGTTTAATTAATTTTGTTCCCACTAAACTTAATTAATTAGTTTCCAGGTGTTTTTTTCCAACTGTTCCATGACAATGTGGGGTGTTATGGTACATGGCGCTTTGGGTGTTACAGTGGATGACGCAGTAGGTGTACATGGGAGATGGCGAAGTTTGTGTACATGGGAGATGGCGATCTTAGTGTTATAGTACATGACACTGTAGGTGTACATGGCGATGTGTCTTTCGGATGCAGCTAAGGCCAATTGTCAGGGTTGTATTTACCCCAGCAACCAATGAAAACGCTACATCACATCAGGGTAAAAATTTTTGCCAGCAAAGTTTTTCTACGTTGAGGGTCATTGTTCGTCCAGATAGAGATGATTTACGGTTTAGAAAAATACATACAATGGTGTATAATCATTTTATAAATAACTCAATTTTTTTTCGAAATTAATTATTTTGCAATGTGATTTAGTAGTTTTAATGTGATTTTTTGTGTGGTGGCGTAGGGGGTGGGGGGACGACTGCGACGACGACTGCACTAAATTGGGCAGCTACGTCACTGTGTGTGAGTATAACGAGAGTGGGGGTGGGGGTGGCTCCCTAATGAGACACGCAATCGGGAACATGTAATCTGTGTATAGACAAACCCTAAGTTATAAGTTCCCCAAGCCTTGGAATCCTCTCCCAACACTCACAGATGTATTAAATCACAGGGACGAAAACCCACGCCCACACCCCTAACCGGACATAACACCGTGGACATGACCCCTCTCCGACATAACCCCCATAAGGGTATACCTCAGTCCAAGTAGTTTCATTATGGATTTATAAGGACGTTCGTTTTACTTGCTTTAGTTTAAAAACATTTTTAATTCATATGATTTTAGCTTATTTCTTTGAAAGCAATTCTTCTGTATATAGACTGTTGTGTTTCATACATACAGTTATATATTGGCCTATCGTATTTAAATCAGCTTAAGTTAACAACGAAATTTGTGAAGTTGTTTTCCTCTATTTATTATGTTCGCATTTGCACAATTTAAATTTGAATCGGATTTCCTACTGCTGGGTATGTCTCGCGTTTCCTCCACTAAGTGATCTACGCTGTTTTACAGCGCGCTGAAAATAATTTATTCATGCCTCATCAGGCTCTTGCCTTTATTTTTTTCTGCCTCACTGAAGGTTTCTCTTCACACCTGCGGGTCTTTGAGAGTCTAGATCCGTGGAACTATAAGTAATTGATGTATCTTCTGAGACCAATCTACGCGTCCAGATCTAGGGTGTTCCTTTTCTCAGAACTTCGGCCACACACAAACCCCTCCCCCCTCAAAAAAAAAAACAAAACAAAAAAAAACAAAACAAAACACAACTTAATGCATTTCAACACGGAGGTACAGTACGTCAATTTTGTGTCAATCAATAGATCCAGTGTAGACTTAAGCTGTGTTGTTTAGTACTTGTGTACGGGGAAGAGAATTTGTTTCTATTTTTTTTAAGAAGAATTTACGGCTCGCATTTGTTAACTCGCGGGCAGGTTCCGACCCGCGTATCACCTTTTTATTTAAAGAAACAGTACAGTGTAGCATTTAAAATATTGTACTTGTTTTATCTATAAAAGTTGTTAGATAATACACAAATATTGAATGGTGAAGTATCATTTACACCATTTCACAAACACACATACACACATGCGCGAGCGCTCATGTACACTCGCACACACACACACACACATCCACACACCCCCACAAACACATCCACACCCCCACACTCACATACACTTACACACACCAATGGCGTAGCCATGATCGTCTCAATGGGGGGGGGGGGGTTCCAATTTTTACACGGGGACAAACTTTCGATTTGCACCCCCCTCAGACTTTTGATTTGCACCCCCTCAAACTTTCGATTTGCACCCCCCTCAGACTTTTGATTAGCACCCCCCCCTCAGACTTTTGATTTGCACCCCCCTCAAACTTTCGATTTGCACCCCCCTCATACTTTATATATATTCCGAGGGGTCTATGAGGGGGGGGGGGTTATGACCCCCCCCTAACTCCCCCCCCCTGCCTACGCCACTGACACACACACACACACACACACACACACACACACACACACACACACACACACACACACACACACACACAACACACACACACACACACACACACACACACACACATATATATATATATATATATATATATATATATATATATATATATATATATATATATATATATATATATATATATATATATATATATATATATATGAGTACATAATTGAATCCTAGACATACAGTACCTTTCCTGTACATCCTTAGCTCGTAATACTCAATGCCGTGGTGAGGTTTGCCGTCAGGGTCGTTGGGACAAATAACGCTAAAATAGACCAGTACGGTAAACTCTCCATCTTGAGCTTTTGGGAAACGCTGAAATTTAAGAAGTTTACGGTAGTGGATTGAAGAAGTGTGTGTATGTGTATGTGTATCGGTTAGTATATTTGAGATAACATTTACAATATGAATCTAGCACAAAAAAGGTTACCACTGAGGACAGTTGGAGAAACTAGCACAAGAAAGATGGGTTAGCAATGGGGACAGTTGGAGAAACTAGCACAAGAAAGATGGGTTACCACTGGGGACAGTTGGAGAAACTAGCACAAGAAAGATGGGTTACCATTGGGGACAGTTGGAGAAACTAGCACAAGAAAGATGGGTTACCATTGGGGACAGTTGGAGAAACTAGCACAAGAAAGATGGGTTAGCAATGGGGACAGTTGGAGAAACTAGTACAAGAAAGATGGGTTAGCAATGGGGATAGTAGGATAAACTAGCACAAGAAAGGTGGGTTACCATTGGGGATAGTAGGATAAACTAGCACAAGAAAGGTGGGTTACCATTGGGGATAGTAGGGTAAACTAGCACAAGAAAGGTGGGTTACCATTTGGGGATAGTAGGGTAAACTAGCACAAGAAAGGTGGGTTACCATTTGGGGATAGTTGGAGAAACTAGCACAAGAAAGATGGGTTACCATTGGGGATAGTTGGAGAAACTACCTATAGTCCTAGTGTGACTACCATGCTAGTGAGATTTTTTGTTGCGTTCTTCTCCTTCGTGGGCGTCGAAGATTAAATAGACGCCATGGCTCTCTGTTCTTTACTAGTTTCATACAAAATATCAAACACAAGCTGGTATTGCGAGTTTCATATCCTTCGGTCACTTAGCATTTCAACACAAGCTAATCATATCTCCAAAATTGTTGGATACATAACAGAACAAAACAAAATTGAACAGGTAACGCTGACTCACCAGACAGTAGCGAGGCTGACTCCCAAAATCTGACGCAATGATGAAGATAAAAGGTCCTGACTCCCATCCTGCCCAACAGGTCAACCGTTTCCCTGGTGACCGTAAACAAAAACAATGTTTACGTTGTTGGTTAAACTACACACAAACAACTCACACACTACAACAAACACACTCCAACACACAAACACCTCACACACTCTTACACATCAACAATACACACACTCTTACACACAAACAACTTCTTCTTACCTACATAACACACACACTCCTACACACAAACAACTCATACACTCTTACACACAAACACCACACACACACTCCTACACACCAACAACTCACACACTCCTACACAAAAATACCATACACACACTCCAACACACAAACAACTCACACACTTCTACACACCAACACCACACACACTCATATATACAAACACCACACACTCCTACACACCAACACCACACACTCCTACACACCAACACACACACTCCTACACACCAACACCACACACTCCTACACAACACCACCACACACACACTCCTACACACCAACACCACACACTCCTACACACCAACACACACACTCCTACACACCAACACACACACTCCTACACACCAACACACACACTCCTACACACCAACACCACACACTCCTACACACCAACACCACACACTCCTACACACCAACACACACACTCCTACACACCAACACACACACTCCTACACACCAACACCACACACACACTCCTACACAACAACACCACACACACACTCCTACACACCAACACCACACACTGCTACACAACAACACCACACACACACTCCTACACACCAACACCACACACACACTCCTACACACCAACACCACACACTCCTACACACCAACACCACACACTCCTACACACCAACACACACACTCCTACACACCAACACACACACTCCTACACACCAACACCACACACACACTCCTACACAACAACACCACACACACACTCCTACACACCAACACCACACACTGCTACACACCAACACACACACTCCTACACACCAACACACACACTCCTACACACCAACACCACACACTCCTACACACCAACACCACACACTCCTACACACCAACACCTCACACACTCCTACTCACCAACACACACACTCCTACACACCAACACTACACACACACTCTTACACACCAACCACACACACTCCTACAGACAAACACCACACACAATCCTACACATCAACACTACCCACACCAACACCACACACTCCTACACACCAACACCACACATACCCCAATACACTAACACCACACACTCCTACACACCAACACCACACATACCCCTACACACAAACACACCACACACTCCTACACACAAACATCACACACTCCTACACACAAACACCATACACACACTCCTACACACCAACACCACACCATCACCTATAGACCAGACTTACAGTCTCCAGCTTTAAGAAACGGGTTACAGTTGCTGTTGGTTGGTGCGATGAAGTCCATGCCGTCACCCTTCATACACTCGATCTCCAGAAAAGATCTGCGCCACTCATTTTCACAGAAGTCCTGAGGAAAAAAGCCTTCAAACTAAACTGTCTATAAAAAAAAATTAAAAAAAAAAACGTTTTAATAACAAGCTTTTATGTACTAATGCACTAAATAGTAGAAAATAAATTTTAGACTACTATTTAAATAACTATAAAGAAAAACGTGGGTCACTTTAGTATCTATTGGAGACCTTTACTAATGTTTAGGAAGAGACCCACGCTTTTCTTTATAGTTATTTAAATAGTAGTCTAAAATTTATTTTCTACTTTTAATTGCATTAGTACATAAAAGCTTGTTATTAAAACGTTTTTATGAATTTTTTTTAGTACTTTACATGTTTTTATTTACAATAGAGTTTTATGACTAAAAACCATTGCGCGCCGATTGAACGTGATGACGCGCTATTGAATTTGATGACGCGTGTTGTGTGGTTAGATAGAAATGCCTACTAATTTGGTCAAAATTTTAATTAATTCATAAAAAATTTAATTAGGCTTCCAATTAAGTCAAATTTAATTTCAGATTGCATTGTCTTCATGTCTTGACCCACGTGCCAACTGTGAACCGTATCTGTCAAGTAGAAGTGTCCGAATTATCGCTCCGCGTTTCGATCTAGACAGAGTGACGACAGAGGAAGTGAGTTAAATAAAGCTTGTAAAAAGCACTTGCACTTGAAAAAAAAACCCATTGTAATTGATAATTCTACGCTCAAACTCATGACAAGTTTTATAATAATTATTCCAAGCCAGCCTTTTCTTAACTCACATTCAGGTTGATTGAAAACTCCCCTGTCTACAAATCATATTTATTTGTACAAAAAAGATTCCTCTTGTAAAATGTTCGTTTTACCTTTGTATTTTAACCAAATAAACATGTTATTAAAATTTATATTGCCATAGCACAAATTTAAGTATCAAGAAGGGAACTAGATATACAAAAAATATTAAATAGAATAATTCCGCAATTATCTCCCCTTAATTAAAAATATAATATTGATCTACTAGCAAAGTTTAATGACTAGATACCAGAAGGGCATGACAAAAGACAGCCGGACGATAACTCCATTCACTGACTCATGTCTTAACCAGTGGCGTCACCAGGTTGGGTGCCACTCGATGCGGCGGCTAAGGGTGTCACCCCCACCCCCTTTCAACAATTTTCGTTTAGGTGTGAACTTTCTCTTCTCCTATCTCATTATCTGAACTGGACAAAAACATTCTTTTGACAGTAAATGATGCGATTTTTCGATCTAGTATTACCCTCCTAATGATGTCACCCGGAGCGGTCCGTACATGCGACGCTACTAGTCTTAACGTTAAAGATTATAATCAAACTTTCAGAAACAATGAACGGAAATAATAACATTACAAATATTTGAAATATATGAAACAAAACTTAAAATTCCTTTATTTTCAAAGTTTTTTTTTTAACCGAAAGGTTCGCTAAACAAAAATTCGGAACACCTTCACAACTCTGCTTTATTCTCCCACTCTCCACATAGCCCCCCCCCCCCACACACACACCCACCCGCATGTTTCCCCACCCACCCTCATTAGCCCATTTACTTAGCTCTATCTGTGCCCTTCCCACACATCCCTGAAAGGTCCTCAGCGCCGGAACATTTTATCGGGAAATCCCGTTTCTCCTGCGGAACGAGCAGCGAAAATTGGTGGACGGCGACCGAAAATAAACGCACTCAATCGCAGCCGGAAAAGAAGTTTTTGAACGGCGTGTACTCTAAAACTTAAGTGATGTATAGATCCATAGATCCATTTTATGTGTGGCACATCGTGAATATAGGTGGAGGAGAAGAAGCGTCTTTAGTTTGAAGTATATATATATATATATATATATATATATATATATATATATATATATATATATATATATATATATAATATGTATATATACTTCATATATATTTACATATATATATATATAAATATATATACTATATATATATAATATATATATAATATGTATATTTATATATACTTCATATATATTTACATATATATATATATAAATATATATACTATATATATATATAATATATATATATATATATATATATATATATATATATATATATATATATATATATATATATATATATATATATAAATATTAGTATATAAATATTAGTATATAAATATTAGTATATATAAATAAATATTAGTATATAAATATTAGTATATAAATATTAGTATATATATGTGTATATATATATATATATATATATATATATATATATATATATATATATATATATATATATGTGTGTGTGTGTGTGTGTGTGTGTGTGTGTTTGTGTGTGTGTGTGAGAGAGAGAGACTCTCGTTTAATATTTCGTAAATACTAATTTTCTAGAGTGAAAAAATTCAGCTAATGTTATTCATAATTTAATTTAATCACGATAGATAACTCTCTATACAACTGCGAGTTAACCTACTTTGGACATGTTGCTAAGATTATGATTTTATTAAAAAAAACAACCTCAGAAGATTTGATGGCAATATTTTTAGCCCTTTGAATTGACCACTTGGTTAAAGTCCAAGATGGGATGAACTACAACTGAAGTACCCCAACAGTGATGTCAAGTACTGACAATGATCTGTCAGCTGAATGGACCGATATCAGGATTAAATGTATGACTCGAGTTCCCCCCCCCCCCCCCCAGGCACTCAGTCAATTAACATCTGATGTCAGTTCAACCACGGAGCTTGTCCAAACACAGGACATCAACCGTTGTTGCCGTGGTATGATGAGGGGGAGGGTGGGAGGAGAAGATGAAAATGGAACATGCTGTCATTAACGAGATAAAGATATCTTCACTAGCAAGTTTCTCCCTTTAAGACTAGAATCTCGGACTGTCCTGTCATCTACTCACTCACACTCTCTATAGAATTGATTCATTAAAAAAAGTGAAAACAGCTTTATGGACAGATCGCAGACTAAAATAAATTTACTCGTAGAGTCACGTGATGCCCGTATTCTGATTTGACGTAGACGTGCGGCCGCTTCGGGTGGAGAAAGATTCTCCCCCCCCTCCCTCCCTCCCTCTCACCTGTGACTGTTTGAAATATTCACTTGTAAGACAACGGTATCACAAGTTCTAGCTTCTGTCAGCCCATTTGCGTCGTTTAAAAAACCAAGTGATATCGACTGTAGTGTATAGAAGACTAATGAAGTGAAATCAATGCACATTTATACTTGTGTTGGCAATAATAGAAGATATCAGAGCAATTATGTTAAACGTCGAAAAACTATAATGCAAAATTATTTTTTTTTGAAGGTTTAAATATAACATTTTGCATTATTTTAATATGCGAATCAGATTTATCTGAAGATTATTTTGGACATACTGCATATGGGGCAGATGAAGTAGACTTCATCTGTCTCAGAGATCGCAGCATATGAAGGACTAGTGTGGTCAGCCGCCTTTGTTTTCCTTAACGTTTGCTAAGTACCCATCTGCGCTGGGTGGACAATCATCATCACAATCCGCTCCACCATCATCATCACCATCACCTCCACTACCATCACCATCCCCTCCACTACCATCACCATCCCCTCCACTACCATCACCATCCCCTCCACTACCATCACCATCCCCTCCACTACCATCACCATCACCTCCACTACTATCATCATCATCACCATCCTCTCCACTACCATCAACATCCCCTCCACTACCATCACCATCCCCTCCACTACCATTCCCATCACCATCCGCTCTAGCATCATCATCACCATCCCCTCCACTACCATCACCATCCGCTCTACCATCATCATCACCATCCCCTCCACTACCATCACCATCCGCTCTACCATCATCACCATCCCCTCGACTACTACCATAATCATCACCATCCCCTCCACTACTATCATCACCATCACCTTCACCATTCGCTTCACCACCTCTACCAGCTGAACCATCACCACCATCAACATTCGCTTCATCATCATCTTCACCATTACCACCATCGTCATCACCATCACCATCAGTTACATCACGCACACAATTACCACCAACACACCACCATCCATCACCATCAGTTCCATGATGCCATCAAGTACACCATCATCACCATCCACCTCCTCAACATCGCTATGATCTCAACCGCTACCACTATCAGCACCATCATTACCTTCTCCGCCATCAAATTCAGCTCCATCGTCACCATCTCCACCTCCACTTCCACCAACTCCACCATCCCCACCATCCCCACCAACCCGGCACCAGACCCACTTAATTAAAACATAATTCTCCTGTTATTCTCACAGCCCACGACCTTATCACAAGTAAACACAGACTTCCCTCCTACCGACCAACCAAGAGCGATAACTCTGATCAACTGATTTTACTATCAAGGTTTGTTCCGAAGCTCTGTTCCAAATCGTCTCTAATTAATTGCAACAAATCAACGGAGATATGTAAACATTGAATTTAGTATTCTGCAGTAGCTGATAAATCACATTTTTGAAAATAATTTTAATAATATAGTTAATGTCATTGAAATGTAATTGACAAGCTTGATTCAAAAGTTGTATACAACTTTGTGTATATTTTTTACCTATGTAGTTTTCTGTTTTTTTACAATAGTGATCATACATAACTTGGAATCAACTAAAAAGATTTAGACCACCAAATAAAGTAAAGCGGGAGGGATCTACCCTAAACTTTAGAGACAAGAACATTTTAAATCACCAAAAAAAAAAAAAAAAAACCAACAACAAACCATTTTTTTTTTTCGTAAATTGCAATTACGTTAAAATGCATGTATTAAGATGGAAAAAACAAGCAATTATTTTTAAAATACGCGATGAAGTTCAAGCAACTTCATAACAAATATCTTAATCGATTATCAAGTCTTAAGAATTTCTGAAGAATTTTCTTTTTGTTTTCAAACTTAAGCCCTAACCTTTACTAACTTAATGGCTATTATTTCTGGTTAGATCTACTCCCGTTCTAAAATACTTAAAGTATTCCAATGTTTCCGAGCAGTTCTATTGTTTTCACATATTTCTATTGTCTCTAAACCCTACAATGTTACAGCCAGTCATTAAAAACACCGCGCGTTTAAAAGAAATATAGCTAACGGCGATATTCTTTTCAAAAGAAAACACATAGCCAATTTCAAACCATACAACATAGGGTATTTTTAGAAAAAAAATGATTTTTTTTTTTGCAGACAAAAGATATTGGCTCTTTTGTTTAATGCCGGCCTGATGATAAGAAAATAACAGATGCTGTTTTAGTGGTGTTGTAAGGTGATGAAGTGGGGATTTCGATACCAGGTTGATGATGAGAAAATAATAAATGCTGTGGCGGTGGTGGTGGTGTGGTTGATGACGTTTGGGGGGGGGGGTTGTCTACGAGCATGGTGGTAAGAACAGAACCGATGATGTTGTAGTTGTGATTGACGAAGAGGGAGGGGAATTGTTATTTATAATCTTATAGAATAGTTGGTTGCCCCTAGCTGTGACTTTAATTAAGTGAACTAGGAAGAAGAAATGGTGGGGGGGGGGGGGGGTGGCTAAAGGGGGCCCCGCAGGCAGAAGATGATAAACTGTACAATATACATAATTTTTCCCCATATATTGTGTGGGGAGGGGTGGGCCTACGGATCAATATAAAGTTTAATTGTTTTAAAGGTATATGGGTTCTACCGAAGAGGGGGTGGAAAAACGCCTTAAGGTCCAAAGTATGAGCTATTGTTCGTGTTTAGAAATTTTTGTTTAATTTTGTTTTGGGCGGTGTTTTGTGGGGCGGATGGGAGGTGTATGGGAGATGGAATGTATTAGAGTACTTAATGTATTAAAGTACTGAATGTATTAGAGAATTGAATGTATAGAGTACTGAATGTATTTGATTATTGACTGTATTAGAGTACTGAATGTATTATTGTACTGAATGTATTATAGTACTGAATGTATCAGAGTACTGAATGTATTAGAGTACTGAATGTATTAGAGTACTGAATGTATCAGAGTACTGAATGTATTAGAGTACTGAATGTATCAGAGTACTGAATGTATTAGAGTACTGAATGTATCAGAGTACTGAATGTATTAGAGTACTGAATGTATCAGAGTACTGAATGTATTAGAGTACTGAATGTATCAGAGTACTGAATGTATTAGAGTACTAAATTATTCCAGTACTAAATGTATTACAGTACTGTTACGTATTACAGTACTGTTAGGTATTACAGTACTGTTAGTTATTACAGTACTGCTATGTATTACAGAACTGCTATGTATTTCAGTACTATTATGTATTACAGTACTGTTACGTATTACAATACTGTACCACACAGAAAAGGCTTGTCTGACAACATTGGATGAGAGAAACGCTTCATTCAGTTCCAGCCAATTCCATTCTGCCTGGCTAATGAGCTTAGCTAGAACCGGCACTGACCGCATACGAGAGCGAGTGAAGCCGCCTTAACAGTATGCAGAGCCTAAACCTAGGCACCCATAGACGCAGTGCTAGTCAGTATTAACTTGTTTAAATGTGGTACCATGAAATGTGTTTAGAAAAATTCTCCTACCACTTATACTTAAAACCTGATTTTAGTGTACAACTTACGAAAGTTTAGATTTTCTGTTTTTAACACCATGGTAGGTCCATAACCATCATATACCAATTACTCATTGAAAGCGGACTTAAATATCAGAAACTTATGAGATAAGGGATAGGGGTGGGGGAGGGGTTAGTGACCCAAAGGTCGTGACCTTAACAGTAATGTCACACTGACCTCGTTGGTGAGTCTCCGGATGGTCCTGAAGCTGAAGCCCCCACTCACGG